AAATTAACTGTAACGTAAGTACTAAAACTATGGGAAAAAGACGTTATGAATAGAAAATATTCCTAATACATCAAGAAATTATAATCCGTAATTATTGCATGTTTATCTATCACCAGTTTATAGTGATATAGCATAAACCATAAAATCTCAAAATTGGACAAATTCTTTTGATAGAACTATAACGTAAGTACTAAAACTGATAGAGAAATACGTTATAAATAAATGATATTCCTAATGCACCAAGAAATCATAATCCATACTTATTTCATATTTATCTATCACCAGTTACAAATGATATAGCATTAATCACAAAATGTCAAAATTGGACGATTTTTTTAATAAAATTAACTGTAACGTAAGTACTAAAACTATGGGAAAAAGACGTTATGAATAGAAAATATTCCTAATACATCAAGAAATTATAATCCGTAATTATTGCATGTTTATCTATCACCAGTTTATAGTGATATAGCATAAACCATAAAATCTCAAAATTGGACAAATTCTTTTGATAGAACTATAACGTAAGTACTAAAACTGATAGAGAAATACGTTATAAATAAATGATATTCCTAATGCACCAAGAAATCATAATCCATACTTATTTCATATTTATCTATCACCAGTTACAAATGATATAGCATTAATCACAAAATGTCAAAATTGGACGATTTTTTTAATAAAATTAACTGTAACGTAAGTACTAAAACTATGGGAAAAAGACGTTATGAATAGAAAATATTCCTAATACATCAAGAAATTATAATCCGTAATTATTGCATGTTTATCTATCACCAGTTTATAGTGATATAGCATAAACCATAAAATCTCAAAATTGGACAAATTCTTTTGATAGAACTATAACGTAAGTACTAAAACTGATAGAGAAATACGTTATAAATAAATGATATTCCTAATGCACCAAGAAATCATAATCCATACTTATTTCATATTTATCTATCACCAGTTACAAATGATATAGCATTAATCACAAAATGTCAAAATTGGACGATTTTTTTAATAAAATTAACTGTAACGTAAGTACTAAAACTATGGGAAAAAGACGTTATGAATAGAAAATATTCCTAATACATCAAGAAATTATAATCCGTAATTATTGCATGTTTATCTATCACCAGTTTATAGTGATATAGCATAAACCATAAAATCTCAAAATTGGACAAATTCTTTTGATAGAACTATAACGTAAGTACTAAAACTGATAGAGAAATACGTTATAAATAAATGATATTCCTAATGCACCAAGAAATCATAATCCATACTTATTTCATATTTATCTATCACCAGTTACAAATGATATAGCATTAATCACAAAATGTCAAAATTGGACGATTTTTTTAATAAAATTAACTGTAACGTAAGTACTAAAACTATGGGAAAAAGACGTTATGAATAGAAAATATTCCTAATACATCAAGAAATTATAATCCGTAATTATTGCATGTTTATCTATCACCAGTTTATAGTGATATAGCATAAACCATAAAATCTCAAAATTGGACAAATTCTTTTGATAGAACTATAACGTAAGTACTAAAACTGATAGAGAAATACGTTATAAATAAATGATATTCCTAATGCACCAAGAAATCATAATCCATACTTATTTCATATTTATCTATCACTACTTTCTAGTGATATAGCATAAATCACAAAATGTCAAAATTGGACGATTTGTCTTAATAAAATTAGCTATAACATAAGTTCTAAAACTGATAGAGAAGTACGTTATGAATAAAAGATATACCTAATGCATCAAGAAATCATAATCCATACTTATTTCATATTTATCTTTCACCAGTTGCAAATGATATAGCATTAATCACAAAATGTCAAAATTGGACGATTTTTCTTAATTAAATTTGCTATAATTTAAGTACTAAAACTGATAGAGAAATACGTTATGAATAAAAGATATTCCTAATGCATCAATAAATCATAATCCATACTTATTTCATATTTATCTATCACTAGTTTCTAGTGATATAGCATAAATCACAAAATGTCAAAATTGGGCGATTTTTCTTAATAAAATTAGCTATAACATAAGTACTAAAACTGATAGAGAAATACGTTATGAATAAACGATATTCCTAATGCATCAAGAAATCATAATCCATACTTATTTCAAATTTATCTATCACTAGTTACAAATGATATAGCATTAATCACAAAATGTCAAATTTGGACGATTTTTCTTAATAAAATTAGCTATAATCTAAGTACTAAAACTGATACAGAAATACGTTATGAATAAAAGATATTCCTAATGCATCAAAAAATCATAATCCATACTTATTTCATATTTATCTATCACCAGTTGCAAGTGATATAGCATTAATCACAAAATGTCAAATTTGGACGATTTTTCTTAATAAAATTAGCTATACTCTAAGTACTAAAACTCATAGAGAAATAAGTTATGAATAAAAGATATTTCTAATGCATCAAGAAATCATAATCCATACTTATTTCATATTTATCTATCACCAGTTTCTAGTGATATAGCAATAATCACAAAATATCAAAATTGAACGATTTTTCTTAATAAAATTAGCTATAAGATAAGTACTAAAACTGATAGAGAAATACGTTATGAATAAAACATATTCCTAATGCATCAAGAAATCATAATCCATACTTATTTCATATTTATCTATCACCAGTTTCAAATGATGTAGTATTAATCACAAAATGTTAAAATTGTGCTATTTTTCTTAATAAAATTAACTATAAGTTCTAAAACTGATGGAGAAGTACGTTATGAATAAAAGATATTCCTAATGCATCAAGAAATCATAATCCATACTTATTTCATATTTATCTATCACCAGTTGCAAATGATATAGCATTAATCACAAAATGTTAAAATTGGACGATTTTTCTTAATAAAATTAGCTATAATCTAAGTACTAAAACTGATACAGAAATACGTTATGAATAAAAGATATTCCAATGCATCAAGAAATCATAATCCATACTTATTTCATATTTATCTATCACCAGTTTCTAGTGATATAGCATTAATCACAAAATGTCAAAATTGAACGATTTGTCTTAATAAAATTAGCTATAACATAAGTTCTAAAACTGATAGAGCAGTACGTTATGAATAAAAGATATACCTAATGCATCAAGTAATCATAATCCATACTTATTTCATATTTATCTATCACCAATTTCAAATGATATAGCATTAATCACAAAATGTTAAAATTGGGCGATTTTTCTTAATAAAATTGGCTACAACATAAGTACTAAAACTGAGAGAGAAATACGTTATGAATAAAAGATGTTCCTAATGCATCAAGAAATCAAAATCCGTACTTATTTCATATTTATCTATCACTAGTTACAAATGATATAGCATTAATCACAAAAGGTCAAAATTGGACGATTTTTCTTAATAAAATTAGCTATAATCTCAGTACTAAAACTGATACAGAAATACGTTATGAATAAAAGATATTCGTAATGCATCAAGAAATCATAATCCATACTTATTTCATATTTATCTTTCACCAGTTGCAAATGATATAGCATTAATCACAAAATGTTAAAATTGAGCGATTTGTCTTAATAAAATTAGCTATAACATAAGTTCTAAAACTGATGGAGAAGTATGTTATGAATAAAAGATATTCCTAATGCATCAAGAAATCATAATCCATACTTATTTCATATTTATCTATCACCAGTTGCAAATGATATAACATTAATCACAAAATGTCAAAATTGGACGATTTTTCTTAATAAAATTTGCTATAATCTAAGTACTAAAACTGATAGAGAAATACGTTATGAATAAAAGATATTCCTAATGCATCAACAAATCATAATCCATACTTATTTCATATTTATCTATCACTAGTTTCTAGTGATATAGCATAAATCACAAAAAGGCAAAATTGAACGATTTTTCTTAATAAAATTAGCTATAACATAAGTACTAAAACTGATCGAGAAATACGTTATGAATAAAACATATTCCTAATGTATCAAGAAATCATAATCCATACTTATTTCATATTTATCTATCACTAGTTTCTAGTGATATAGCATTAATAACAAAATGTAAAAATTGAACGATTTGTTTTAATAAAATTAGCTATAACATAAGTTCTAAAACTGATAGAGAAGTACGTTATGAATAAAAGATATTCCTAATGCATCAACAAATCATAATCCATACTTATTTCATATTTATCTATCACTAGTTTCTAGTGATATAGCATAAATCACAAGATGTCAAAATTGGACGATTTTTCTTAAAAAAATTAGGTATAATCTAAGTACTAAAACTGTAGTTAAGTAGTTAAGCTATTGGAGGAAGACGTTATGAATAAAAAATATTCATAATGCATCAGGAAATAACGTTGAGAAGGAGTCGTGGAAGTTAATAAAACTAATATTTAGTATCTATTATTTTGTAAATTTCCATGGAGCAACACGCAAATTCTTATTTCAAACCTTGTAGTACTAGTATCGGTTAACACCTGTAGAATACAGCAATTTGGGGAATAATTCAAGTTGGATTCTATCTACAAGCACTAACATGTATATTTAAATATAAAAATGTATTAAGTAGATAATACTGATTGTATAATTTAAAAATATTGTGTTTATTTTATCCGAAGTATTGTTTTATCATTTGGTCAAATAGATATCATTGACTAGGAAAATTTTATTTTCCTAAAATAACCATTTGTTTACGCCATATTTTTATAATTGCAAAACAAGATTTTGTAGGTTGTAAGAAAATTTACTTTGTTATTTTTTAATTGTTTAGATAAGAACGTTAAGGAACCAAACAGTTTTAACAAAACAATTTTATAACCAAATTCCCTTTTATCATTCGCCCAGAAATTTATTTCAGGAATATAAATCGCGTTTAGTTTCCCTGCTTTTGTATTTGTGGGCGTTTATTACTATATCATTCTCTTAAAAAAATTCTACTTAATTTTTTTTTTATTTTTTAGGAACTGGTACATTTGGGAGAGTACTTTTATGTCGTAATAAATCCACGGATGAATACTCCGCAATGAAAATTTTAAACTTAGCCGATGTTATAAGATTAAAACAAGTTGAACATGTTAAAAACGAGAAGAATATTTTATTGGAAATCAATCATCCTTTCATCGTAAACTTGTAAGTAAATCTATTTTCTCTCAAAATCATTCGGATATCTTACTTTCACCGACCTTCGACACAAAGGCTAAAATAATCAAATAAAAAAAAACTCAACTATACGAGAGGAGAAAGAAATATTGAGATATTTCTTGGTGAAAGTTTTCCGTCCATAGCTCTCGGTTCTGTTCCGCGAATGCGAAACTGGTTTCTCTGTGGCCACGGGCTGTAAAGTTGGTAAAAGTCTCTGAGATGATGTCCATCCTGTAATAAAACGCATCTGCCTACAGGAACGATGAAAATAGTTTGTTTTCAAGGCGACAGAAAATGGTGATCGCAAGAGAACGTCTCTGCCAAAAATACGCGCCGCGCGAAAAACTGTTCACATTCGACGTTCGACTAAACAAAATGCGTTAAACCACCTGTTTTTTGACTTGTATAAATTGGTTTTTATTTTAAAAATAACTCCGAACTTAATCATTAATGTGTAAAGCTATGGACGGTTTAAGTTAATAAAGAAAACGTTTTTTATTAAATTTTTTTTCTTTACTTTCTTTAACAGATTTTGGTGCCATAGAGATGATACAAGTATTTATATGCTTTTCGAATATGTTTGTGGAGGAGAATTATTTTCGTATTTAAGAAACGCAGGAAGATTTAGTACTCAAAATGCAAATTTTTACGCTTGCGAAATTATATCGGCTGTAGATTATTTACACTCGAAGAACATTGTTTATAGAGATTTAAAACCTGAAAATCTTCTTCTTGATAAAGAGGGTCATTTGAAAATAACCGATTTTGGATTTGCTAAGAAATTAACCGATCGAACGTGGACTCTTTGCGGAACACCTGAATATTTAGCACCGGAAATCATTCAAAGTAAAGGACATAATAAAGCTGTTGATTGGTGGGCTTTAGGTACGTTTTCCATTTAGATTTAAACTGCGTCATTCATATCGTTTAAAATTATTGAAGTGTACTACAAAGTATTAACTTCAAGTGTAGGCTTATTAAAGTCCATTAGTACTGGATAGAAAAGCCTGTCCAATTGACGTCAAGTAAACTTTTTCATATTTCACGTGTTTCTTTTGGCAAAGTTACTACTTACACAATGTGCACACGAAAATTTTCTGTAAATTTTATTTTGTTAAGTTACAAAGCATTTTTTTATAACTGGTAGTAATAATATTTATCGTTTAAAAAGTGTAAATCATGTTTACTCGTGTTATTTAGTACTAAAAAATCATAAACAACAAATATATAATATTTAAAAGATACAATAATAAAGTAATGTTATTGTCCGATATATACAACAATTATTTATTTATAGGAATTCTTATTTATGAAATGTTGGTTGGTTATCCACCCTTTTACGACGACAATCCATTTGGAATTTATGAAAAAATTTTAAGCGGAAAAATTGAATGGGTTCGGCACATGGATCCCGTTGCGAAAGATTTAATCAAAAAATTATTGGTTCAAGATAGAACGAAGAGATTAGGGAATATGAAAGTAAGCATTACAAACAATTCTTTATCTATTATCTTGTTATTTTTAAAATTTAAAGTTATTTTTAATCAATTCTATTTATAATAATTTTTATTCTTTTAGAGCGGTGCAGATGACATTAAAAGGCATAGATGGTTCAAAGGAATCGATTGGCAAGATGTCATCATGCGTAAATTAAAGGTAATTTTTTAATATTAAAGTTAATTAACTAAATAATTTTTAATCTTTCTTTAGCCTCCCATTGTACCGAAGATTTCTAATGATGGAGATACAAGTAACTTTGATGAGTATCCCGAAGTTGACTTTAGAACAGCAAGACCTTTGGAAGAAGCCGAATTGAAGCAATTTGAAGATTTCTAAAGGGAAAACGACGGTTTTCTTAACTATTTTAATGTGATATGTAACAATAACCTGGTTGACTTTTGTTTTATTATTATAATTTTTTTTATTAGTCAGATAAGTTTTTGTTTGTTGATTTATTAGTGTAAATAACTAGTTAGGGTGAAGTATGTGATGTGTGTGTACATAGAAGAAAAAAATTAAATTATACTTCCTTTTCAATTATTTTCAATTAATTAAAATGATTTGTAAAGTAATACTCTGTGTGTTATTAAAATCTTTATTAAGATTCATTTTAAATATAAATCCCGAATCGTTCTAACAAAATTGTATTAATCATTAAAATTAATTATAATGGCAACATAAGATTTCTTCAGTGAAATAGCTTGGTTTGGAACTCTGCTAAACAGTATTCTTGTTCCTGGATATACATAGTAATTCAAGCCAAGATGGTTAGAGGTCACGATGCTAAATGGCATTTTTCGAAAGCCCACTCGCTATTTATACTTGTGGGTTGATTTACGTCAAGTTTCCAACCTTGGCTTACCTTACCTATGTTGAAAATATGAAATACCATAATAGAATTAAAAACATTGTATCAAGATTAATCCTGGACTACAATGAACGACGTCTTATTTTATTTCTGCACAATGTAATAAAGAAGATTCAAAATCAATGTCTAGAAGATACAAGTTCATCAGACGAGTTAACCGATATAGACGAAAACGATAATTTTGTCAACGAAAACCATTATGCTTGGAATAAATAACCGTTTCTAACTCACTGAGATTGTCCTTCGCAAGCTGGAGCATAAACGAATTTTTGCGAAAGAAATCTTGTTACTTGGTCAGATGGTTAGCCTCCTATATACGGGGAAAAACTCAGTTAGTGTTAATCAAAAGACATAAATTTAGTTCTTTTTCAGTGCCTTCGGGTATACTGCGGAACAGTCACTTAGGACCCCTTTTGTTTAATATTTACATTAACGATACATTTGCTGTTTTGAAACAATCTCACTGCTTAATGTATGCTGATGATCTGAAATTATTTACGGGTGTGTCCTCACCTCTGGATTGTTAGGGGTTGCAGCGTGACGTTGGCGCTTTGCAATAGTACTGCGACTTGAACCTCATTACGCTCAATTTGAGCAAATGTTATATAATTTCTTTCACAAGAAAGTTGCCATGTCGAAAGTATCTCATATTAGAAATCTTGGTGTGACATTCGACCACAAATTTACCTTAGAGAAACACGTTGACGGGGTGGTTTCCAAAGCTTGGCGTATGCTTGGCTTTGTGCTTAGAACAACAAAAAATTTTATAGACATCAAAGCAATTAAATTATTACATTTTGCATATGTTCATAACGTGTTAAATTTTTGTAGTTTGGAATCCCCAATATCAATTTGGTATATGTAGAATAGAAAAATTTTTGATGCTCCTCAGCTACAGGACTAACGTGGATTATGTTGAGTACGAACCTGCATGTCGTAACTTCAATCTCGTAGTGATGCGTTAACATACTACAAAATCATTAATAATGTAATTGATTTTCGTCCTCTAGTGTCCTCTCGTCATATTCCTCGTTCAAATACTTTTCAAAACTCTCCTATTCTGAGAATGGGTCACACTTGCGATCATTTTCAGTGCACCGGCTGTGGCTTGGGAATAGACATATTTCGTATCTCTATTAGGGAATTTAAGCGCTTATTTTCTGTCACTTCCACTTCCTCTGGCCACCTATTCTGACTTTGTTAGCTGTTATTTTCTTTTTGTTTTATTTTTATTTCATAATTATTAATTTGCCGTGAAAATTTTATTCCAGGACCATACCTAACGATGGACAAGCAACCGATAGTGTACCAACCAGCAAAATATGAATTGATATTGCTGATGATGTGTGATAGCAACATAAAGTACATGACACACTATATTTGAGCAAAGGCTCAACAAATCGAATCTAGCACTTGGTCTTAATGGTGGCACAATCTATTTATGAGGAAAATGACGATTCCAAATTTTCTCATTACGTACCAGCAAAAGACTAGATACAGTTAAGTGATGCCTACATACTACTGCCAGAAGACTAAATAGTGTTGGCAAAGGTTAGATGCTACTTCCAGAAAACTGGAACTGTACTTTGGAATATAACGTTTGCAAAAGACTAAAAGACTAAATATGTGAAATCCATGACCACAACCTACTGGTAGAAGATTAGTACTAATATAAGATTGCATACTGTTGACAGTGCACTAAATACTGCTAATAAATACCCTCACTTTAAAGATCGATAACTTCATAACCGCTCGATGAAAAAAATTGTCATAAAGTTTATTGTAATCACTAAACATTTCTACGAAACATATCTTAATTTGAAAATTTTCGGATCAGCGGTTTGCCTTTTATCGCGAGTTAAATCAAAAAAGTACCCGATTTTTTACTGTACCGGCAACTTTGTCAACTTTGCGATTGATTTTCTCGATAATTATTGTACGAAAATATTTCAATTTTGAACAGGTGGTAGTCTGATATGTTCTTAATAGGGGGCATATTTTATTTTTACGATATTCAATATAGTTTCGCGGAAAATCGCGATTTCGTTGGACGCCGTTATGTCGAAAACTGCTGGTGGATTTCAACGCGGTTTTAACCAAAATGTGAAGGAGGTTGGGACCCGTTGGGCAAAGATTGAGGGAAAGATACAGAACAGGAATAGCGAGGGGAATTACGGAGGAGAGTAAGACGTAGGGGAGATGGAGACAGAAGGGAATGGTAAAAAGGCAAATCAAGGTAGAGGGAGAGAAATTGCGGATAGACACAGTATATAGCAAGGCAATGAAAGAGACAATGAGGCAATGGCAGGATATGACAGAGTAGTAGGGAGGACTATCTGATTATTGGAGGGGACTTTAATGCAAGAATACGGGATGAAGGGGATAAGTTTCTGAATGGAGAAGGAAGGGAGATGCTGAGGTGGGTAGAGGAGAGGAGATGGATGCTACTGAATGGGAATAGGGAGGAAGGAGATGAAGGGGAATATACCTATACGGGTGCAAGGGGGGCGTCCGTGATACATTATGTGGTAGTGGACCAAGGAATGTGGGAGAGAATAGAAACATTTAGGATTGGGGCATTGGCAGAGTCGGATCACCAGCCGAATGGTCCAGAAGGAACGAATGGTGGGATAGGGTATGCAGAGAGGCCAAGCGAAAAGCTAGAAGAAAATTGACAGTGGCAGAGAGGGGAGGTTGCGATAGATAGATATATAGAGGCCAGGTGAAAATACAAAGAAGAATACAAGCAAGAAAATGAAGAGGGAGCTGAAGGAAAGGGAGCCTGAGAAGATTAAGGAGTTGAAAGAGGAAAATAAGGTATGGAGATACTTAAAGAGAATGAGGAAGGGAAGAGAGGAAATCAGCAGAGTTATACAAATGACTGAATGCAGAACCTACTTCTTGGGATTGTTGGGAGAGGTGGAAGAGAAAAGACTGGGAGAGGGAGAGCGAGGAGTGCAAGGAGGAGAAGAGATAATACTGGAAGAAATGGAAGAAAAGGAAGCAGTGTTGAGGGGACTGAAGAGGGGGAGGGCGCCTGGAGAGGATGAGATCCAGAATGAGGTATAGTTGGAGGCGACGTAGACAGTGAAGAAGAAACTATGGAATGTAATAAACGACGTATGGATAGGGGAGAGGTTCCCGGACAGGTGGAGGATGGGGATAATATGCCCACTGTATAAAAAGGGGAGTAAACGGGTGGTGAGCAATTATAGAGGGGTCACCCAGTTGGACACAACTTTCAAAATTTATGCAGAGATACTGCTGGGGAGGTTGGAAGAGGAAATGGAGAGGGTGGAATTGGTGCCGGATGGGCAGGCGGGATTCAGGAAGGGAAAGGGGCAATTGACAATTTATACATACTGAAACACCTGGTAGATAATGAGTTGAACAAGAAGGGAGGAAAGTTGTATGGATTGTTTATTGACCTGAAGGCTGCATTCGATAACGTGGATAGAGAGAATTTGTGGGAGGAAATGAGGAGGAGAGGTATCACAGAACAACTGGTAGAGAGGGTGAAGGAGATGTACAGGGAGACGATGGCCATGGTTAAAGTGGGGGACGAGTTAAGCGAGACATCCTGTATACGGCGGACTTGGAAAAGAGACTTGTGAAGGGGCAAATGGGTGAAGTGGTGATAGGAGGAACAAAGGTGGTCGTGGCTAGAGAGGCGGTGGAGATGAAGCAGATGGTGAGGTCCCTGGAAAGATACTTTAAGGCGAAGGGGTTGGAGGTAATCGTCGAGAAAATAAAGATAATGAAGTTCTGCATAGAGGGGAGAAGAAAGAAGGAGGAATGGAGGAGCAGGGAAGAGAGATAGAGCAAGTGAAAGAGTACACGTACCTAGGATATGTACGTGTACTTCATGTGTTTGCCATCGTGTTTGCGATTAGGGAGGTGATGGGGCCGAAGAGGCGAAGGTGTGAAAAAGGTGGAGGAGGGTAGAGGATCTGGAGGTATATATTATATTGTATTATAATTAGGAAAGGGAAAATTGTAAATATAAAAAACAATAAAACGTTTATTAACTAAAAGGTGTCAAAAAAATGCGTTTGTCAAATACTATTATCAGTTTTGCAATGTTATGTCTCTCTTTTTTTAAAGCGATTTAAGAAAATTATAAATTAAAAAGGAACAGAAATAAGCCATGCGGGAAGAGAAGGGTTTCGTCCAATTGGAAAAGATGTGCCTTATTTCTTTATGTAGGTAAGATAAAGGCGCGACATACTGTCTGGAACGTACCATCTTTCCGATTGGATGGAACTCCCCTCTCCCCGCAGACCTTATTTCTGTTTCTTTTTAATTTATAATTCGCTTACATCGCTCTAAAAACATTAGAGAGACATAACTTTGAAAAACTGATAACGGTATCCGATAAACGCAATTTGACATATTTTGGTAAAAACCGCGTTGAAATCTGCTAGATCGAAATAACCGCACCCTACTAAACCGCGATTTTCCGCGAAACTATATGGAATATCGATAAAATAACATATACCCCACATTAAGAACACATCGGTTTACCACCAGTTCAAATTTTCGTCAAATAGTTTTGGAGAAAAAAAATCGCAAAGTGGATAAAGTTGCTGATACTCTCAAAAATCGATTACAATAAACTGATTACAATAAACTGATTACAATAAACTTTACCGCAATTTTTTTCATCTAGCGGTTACGAAGATATCGATCTCTAAAGTGAGGGGCCTTGACTTTTTGCACGGATAGTAAATATCTGCATGTGTAATATTATCTAAAACGATAAAAACTTTTTCATTTTCTGAGGTGTTTAAAATTATTCAAAGTTAGCTAAAAAAAGGTGTTAAAAAAATGGCGTACGAAATTGCATAAAACCCCTGTTCTAATATCCCATTTTCAAGAAATCGGGACTTAAAAAAAATACTATAGATGACACTATTAGTAGGCTATGTTATTAACAAAACTAGTTACTTTTATTACAAATTTATGTGGTTTATTTTATATTAGTCAATCAGTACGCTGTGCACTTTTTCAGCAAAATTTTAAATTTCGATACGTTATACGGAACTTTTCAAATTCAAAAAGATAAAAATAAATTTCAATAACATTATACTTAACTATTTTTCTATTACATCCAATACCTATTAAATAGGATACAAAGACCAAAGTTTTTACGATAACAATTATTATCAATAAAATACCATTTATCTGATAATTTGATAATACATAATAACTTACAGTTACTTTTATTACAAACCTATGAACAGATAAGTTTATTCACACGTGTAACACCAGTACAACATTGAAAAAGATCTTGTAAAAATATTCATTTCGAATTAAAAATGTGTATTCGACCACTTTCCGAGGAATTGCAAGCGAAAGCAATCGCTGAATTAAATGAAAATCCTAAGAGGATTCAAGAAGATATTAATATAATTAAAGAATGGCTTAAACAACAAAGGCATTTGAATGCAAGAATGGGTGAGTTTATTTACTATCATAATTAAGAAATTCTTGCATAACAATTGTTTGAAGATGATCAATTCATTTTAACTTTCTTAAGAGGATGTAAATTTAGTTTAGAAAAAACTAAATTAAAATTTGAAAATCTCTACACATGAGGACTTTAATTCCGGAATTTTTTGAAAATAGAGATCCTTTTTTACCTGAACTTCAGGCACTTCTAAAAATTGGGTACGAATTATTTTTATTTAATTAAACATTTTTTAAAATTTTTAAATATCTTTTCAGAGCTATTCTTCCTTTAAAATCAGCCGGGCCAGATAGTCCAAGGTATATTTTATTCAGATTCTGGTTAGCAGATCCAGCTATTCATAAAATCAGAAATTTATTTAAAATAAATATGATGATTTCTGATATTTTGTTGGATGAAGATGATCAGATAACCGTTGGAGGAATGGTTGGATTTCAAGATGCCAGTGGTATAACCGTATCCATGCTGACACATATGGATTTGCCAATCATGAAGAAAGCAATGATGTTCTTTGAAGGAGCTTTTCCACAACGCCCTAAAGTTATGCACGTTTTTAATCCTCCTTCAGTTTTCGACACAATCTATAACATGATGAAACCTTTTATGAAGGAAAAAATGCAAAAAAGGGTAATCTTAAACGTTTTTAATTTTTAACTCTAATTTCTAAATGATGTCATAATTTATTTCTTGTTTAGATGATGTTGCATAGAACATCCAATCTTGAAGAAATGTACAAACATGTGCCAAAATCGATTCTTCCCACTGAATATGGTGGTGATGCTGGCCCAGTTCAAAATTTAATTGGTAATATGAATAGTTACTTTACTAAAGTAGTGTAATTTATGTTCATGCTTATTTCGTATAATAGATGAATGGAAAAACAAGGTTGAAAGTAGAGCAGCTTGGTTTAAAGATGATGAACAGTACAAATCAGATGAATCAAAACGAGTTGGAAAACCAAAAACTGAATCTGATCTTTTTGGAATTGAAGGATCATTTAGAAAATTAAATGTTGATTAAAACATAGATTGATTCTTGCTTTGTTATTACAATATTCTTATTGTTCGGATATGTTTTATGCTTTTAACTTATTAATGTACATAGTTAATTTGTTGGAGCGAGGCATGTAATTTGTAACAAATGGAATAATTATAATTTCAGTTATTTTCAATTGATAAATATAATTTGTAAATTAGTATTATGTGTATTTTGTGCCCTTTATTACTATAATGAGAGTATTGTGTGGAATAATGACGTCCGGGGCTCGCGCGGGGAAATTAATACAAAAACTGGACATTTGAACAATTTAATCTGAAAATCACTTCATTCTTCCAATTCCAGTATCAAGTTGAGTAAGAACATTTTGAGGTCTTATTACCTGTACATTTTTATAAGCAACTCTCTGCTTCGTTTGCTTACATCTTCACATTTTTAGCTTTGTGTATGAGCTAGAAATTCATCTGTAATCTCTATCAATAATCTCTCTATAGCTTTACTGGTCGGTCACTTGGTTGTAGAGGCAGTTTTGAAATGCTGTATTGAAATGGTGAATGTACTGGATAATAGCTATTTAGATGATGCTTACGATGGTTCCATCGGGCCCTCTCATCCTCGTTCTTAACAACTTCATCATCATCAGTTAAGTTGAGTGGCACTAACGGTATATGATTCGATAACGAAGGTGACGACGTTTTTATGAATAACAAGCAAAATTGCATGGCATTTTCCAAATAGTATTCCTTTTTATTTAGTCCAACTCTTCTAGGTGGAGGTTTCATATTACGCAATAGAACTATTCATAGACTACACTTCTTTTTGTACTACGCAGCTGAAATCAAGTTCTTGTAGTAACTATGTATAAATGTTGTTCTATTCATTTTTAACAGGTAGGTACGTGGCGGCTGGTGAAACACTCACTTTCATATTTTGCAAATCGTAAAGAGACACTGCAGAAATCATCTGGGAGCAATGAAGAATACGAAAAGTAAACTGACTATAAATTATCAAAGAAATTACTTTTTGCTCATTTCTGCTGAGCTAACGATATAGAGCATATTAAAAATGCAACTGGAATCCCCATAGGTAACGGACAGGTGGAAAAATTTAACCGAACAATAATGATAGTAAGAAGAAAAGTAAGCTACGAAAAATTCCATTCACTTTAAACACTATGAAAAACAAGAGTACCCAAAAGACATCTTATGAACTTATATTTGGTTTTCACCCCCGCAATATTTTACAAACCTTGTAATTATGGCTCTTGAAGAAGACCAAGACTACGGGATTAAGCGATAAGAAACATCGAAAAAGTACAACAAAAACAGAAAGAGAGGTGACATAAAACATTAAAAACCTCGGAACTAGGAGATTTGGGTTTGATTAGACGAGATACGACAGCTACAGGATAGTCTAGGGAAATGATGCCATCTTACAAAGAACCTTATCTTGTGATTCGTAAGGTAGCAAACCCGAATATGACAACTATCGTATGTGCGCTATAAAAGTTAACACAAAAATTAAAATAGGACATAAGTAAGGACATGAACGTAACAAAATTATTGTTGATACAATAAAACAAAATCATTGGAGTACACGAGGTTAGAATTTTGTTAAAAGAGTATGTGATGAGATTAAAAATTGAATTTCGACCAACTACTATTTGTTTTATGCCAGATCTTAGAGAATGATCAACTTCAAGTCCGCCTATGACAGCATCATACTACCCAAACTGTATGGTCATGCCTTATATAGCATCAATATCCCAAGAAAATTGGTGGAACTAAGACACCATAAAAAATAAATCTACACAACTGCTCGCCTACGTGGACGACGTTGACTGCAAGCAATAGCAATAGCTATGACCTACAAATAAATGAACAAAATATAATGATCATGCCGTAAAAATACGCTCTTAGGAATTTTAGATGAGTATGTTCCCACTAGCCAGGCGTGAGTTCGTGTAGAATAGCCAGAATCCGACTATTGTAAAGTCTAAATTGTTGAGTTAAACTACCAAAAGTATTTTCTGATGTTCTCCTTGCACGACTCAACCGATAGTTGAAGGTACGCTTTCAATCATCCTAAACCTTATCTAGGATAAGGTCGCATCAGAAAAGTTTTAAGAGGAAATGCCTCATAAGCAACAATACCGTATGGTATTTAAAAATTTGTTATTTGGTATCTGAGAATCTGCTGGAACATTCAATGAACCACGTTGAAGTGCTTTGCCTAAATTTGAATTTTAGTTCGTTGTCGTTTAAAGTGTACTCAATTTTATTTTATTTATAGAAATGTATGTGTTTTTAAATTGTATTAACATTTTTTAACTTATTATATATGATAATTATCGATTTTCTTCAATTTTGACTATTTGGCTGATGATGATCATTATTAATTGGTCGAAACCGGTACCAAGTACATTTAATATAAACAAACAAAGGCTTTAAGAGTTTAATTTCAACTTCCTAAACATTACTATTTGGCCTTTGCGATATGGACCTTTTCAAAAAATAAAATTCAAATAAATTTGAATTGCCAAAAATGCCCCCATCACCATTTTTATTACGGCAGGTAAAATCACGTCACGGTCACATCACCGCTGAGTGTAAAAGGACCTTTATACTACCCGTGGTTATGTGTGATGCGGAGGTATGGACAATTAGTAGAAAAGATGCCGACCTCCTGCTCTTCTTCGAGATTTTCGGGAGAACTTTGAATTATACCAACTGTTGCAGAACTAGATTTCATGACTACAAATGAGGTCATGCGTTTTCAATGGGTCATATGGAATAACTACTAGACACATATGTGTCGAAGAAAATCTTACATGCTAAACCACAAGGAAGGCGGAAACAAGGATGAGAAAGCAGAAAGAATAATGGAAAAGCAAAAGCTTTAATTGGTGATGTTCAACTAATGAAGGTTTCAACAATAACAACAACACAACGTACATTATCCATTATAAGAGAAAACTCGTTATCTCTAAAGATGTAGTTTTTGAACATAACAAGTGTAAATCTTGATAGATGACTCAAACGGACAAAATGAACTAGAAAAGCTAAAAAAGGGAAACGAAGGACAGAAAGAAAACACAGGTGATTAATGCCATAAAAGAGCAAACACTATCACTAGAAGAAAACGATGTTTTGGCATATAAAATTGAAGTAAGAGACGATTAGAAAATATTATAACTGGATTTTTAAATTAAAGGGGTATGGAACATTTAAGGCTAGACTAATTGTAAGAGGGTTTGAACTAGGTGTCAATGATCGAAATGATCTATTGTGTCAATACTCGAAAAAGTATTTGGATTTTATAATAATGTTTAATGATGGATCTGTAAGTTGGAAGTAGTCAATTGTTGTACTTTCCACAATCGAGGCGGAGTACATTTCAGCAACCGAATACTGTAAGAAAGAAAACAACAAATATTTTTCTTAAAATAAATCACCATATCACCATTTCTATTCACTTGACTTATTATAGAGTAATTTATAAATATAATCAGGTTTATCATCAAATTGCCGTACAAAACAGACTTCTTAAATTGACGGGAATCTCTGTTTGATTATCTTGTCCTGATAATTCTTGTAAATTAAGTACATACTGTACTAGGAAGCAATCTGTTTTATTATTGTCCCAACTTGCTGCTATCTTTATTCAGAAATGGTGAATGCTTCAAGTTACTAATGGGTAGATAAGGTTCGTTATCGTTGTTACCATGAAAATGTCTGTAATTCAAATATTAACTAAAATCTGGCAATGTTAACATATCTCTGCAGTGGAAGTATACAGAAGATTGAACGATTTTGTTTATATATTTTTTGTACAAAGGATACAAAGGATACAAATGACTATTTCATTCATAACGTTAACAGCCAATAAGAATTGGCGGTTTTCCGTCAATTGCGAGTATTTCAGCGGTTATTTGGCCGTAACCATGGAGAACGATAATACGAACCTTTGTATTATCGCTGTAATACGAACCTTTGTATTATCGCTTGTTTGACATTTCATTGATTTCGTGACATCCATGAATGTTTCCATAACAATCAATATGATTTTTTTTTTTAAATATTAAAATTCTAAAAATATATATATTTTTTATTCATGAAATAGTCTAGCCATATACAACACGACAATCGAAAATACTCGAATCTCGACGTATTGCCTTAAAAAACACCACTCGACCTTCGGTCTCGTGGTGTTTCAAGCAATACGTCTCGTATTATCGAGTATTTTCGATCGTCTTGTTGTATAATATATGATAATAATTTCAACTATTATAAACAATTAGGTACGTAACTACACTAACCGTGCTGTAAAAAGTTGAGAAAAATGCGTACATTGATCATTTCTTTCGAGATAAGCGAGCTCGTGAGATGTGGAATGCTTTTGCGACATTCGGTGTAGTTCCCAATAAAAATCGCTCCAAAAATGTTCCTGTTCATATTGGCTCAGCTAATTCAATTAACAATTTTTGTCAACTCAAACTGTTACGAAGGGAAATATTGATATTATTTTTAGATTGGGTTCTATCGTAATACCTCAAGTTAGGAATGTTTCCAGATCTCATTGACTGATGAGAAGGAAATTTGTAAAACTCTGAATTGTATAGCCTGAGAATGTTACAATTGTGTTGTACAGCAATTTTTCCCTATTTGTGTCATATCTTTAATTGGTGTATCTGTTACTGGCTATTGCCGTTACGCCGGCACACCTAAGATTGACTAGGCAATTCGCACATTGCCCGAGCATTTTTGACCAAGTCCGAAATAACTTTTAATTGCGAGGTTTGCCTGGTATACAAGTAGGCAAACGTAGGTGTGCCAAATGAGACTCAGGCAATGTCCGAAACGTGTAAATTAACTTCGAACTTTGCCTAAGTGGGTTAGGCAAATTAAGGGTGCAAAACACTGTTTACTGTTATCAGCGTTATCAACAAGCTGTCTATGTGTGCGCACTCTTTGGCTTCTTAACTAACAATAAAAATAACGGAATTGAAATTTTCCTAATATGTACAACTCTATTTTTGTAAATAAAAAAACGAACAACATACATACAAAAAATAACAATACATAAGGTTATATGGGAAACTCTGAGTACTATTACTTGTTTGAATACGAGTTTGAATGGTGACATTTCGAGTTGCAAAACACTTTAGCCCTCTTACATTTGCATAAATTTGTTTGACATTTTTTATTGCAGTTACACTTCAAAAACCCTTGGCCTCCGAAGGCAGAGTTTTGGCTACCAATCTGACGCAGAGAGAATTCAATCTCTGGAACATCATGAATTTTCAAAAGTGTGTCTTTACACGCTTGAATTTGATTTCTCGAATACAGCGAGGCAAGAATTCCTTTCTTGGTTCCAATTTTATAGAGTCCATCATTTGTTGTCTCCAAAACTACGCCAATTAAGTTTCGCGCATCTCCTTTGCTCTTGTCAAGGCTTGGAACAGGCACAGTAACTGATGATTCAACCTCAATCGGGGTAAATTTATTATTAGATGTAAACTTCATTTTCTCTGCCAGCTCTTTCAATCCTTCGACAGCTTTCTCTTGATTTGAAGTCATGGGTTACGATTGATGCTCCGTAACCCCCGTTGGTATTACTTGTACTCTGGGCACAGATGACATGAACATTTTACGCACAGCTATAACACTTGTGGACTCCTAAAGTTTCTTTTTCGCATATGCAACAAACAGGTTCCAATTTTGCCATATCAACATCAAGGGCAGGAGTTGTTCCTTTAGTATTTTCTGCATCAGGAAACGGAGTTGATCCTCCAAGACTTTTTGCATTAAGACCACAAGTGGAATTCTCCTGCTCCACAGTAATTGCAAGTGCCTTTTCAAGATCTTCTTCAGTTCTAAAAACTTGTTTGATAGAATCAGGCAATGACTGTATTCCGATATGAGCGTTTTTTCCTTTAATGAAATAGAAACTGGCCACAATTCCCTTAACTCTTCAACTACCCGATTAGCAAACTCTCGTCCGTTGTCCGACTGCAACACGCTGGGAGTTCCCAAACTACAAAAAACATCCAATAATGTCCACTTCCTCTGCTGTCTTCGTCTTCAACGGACGTAAAATTATAAACTTAGTTAGATGATAAAAGTTAAAAATATATCGGAAATCACCATCACGACAAGTCTGCATATCTATGAGATCGACTTGACCTCGGGAATTCACTTCTTTAAATAACAGGGGTTTAACTGTTAATCCTTTTTTAGGTTGGTTCCTTTTTTCGTGGCATACTTGACAGAGCTCTAAATAGCAAATTATTGTTTCTCGTGTTACGTTCGCATATTTATTGCCTAGCGCTTTTATCATATTATCTCTTCCGCCGTGCTCACATTCACGATGAGCGTTGTGAATTACGTCAATAAGATCGTCATTTGTAACCAAATATTTTACGTCAGTAATTTGATCAGCAACCGGAAGTATTAACTTTTTTTATCACCTAAACGTTGCACATCGTAACGTTTAAGGCGACGATATTGTAACGTAGATTTCTTACTCGCTTTCTTTGCAACTTCTACTTCTTCAATAATTTCCTGGTAGCGTTGCTTGCTTTCAATTAGAAATGAATTTGATGACTTGTGCATGTTCATCAATTTTTCTATTAATTTAGATCTCAATTCTGTTTCGGCGTTTTGGTTTTTAAAAGGCACACAATCGATTCCATTTATTGCACTTCTCATTTTGAAACTTTTAGCTCGAAGTACACTCAACCGCAGTAAGGGAATGACTGATAGTCGACAAGTTGAAACTTGCAGAGTGCGTCGTGCGCATCACTGACAAGGAAAGTATGTTTCAAGTTTGGCTGACCCACTTTAGGCAAAGTCCGAAGTTAATTTACACTTTTCGGACTTTGCCTTAGCCTCATTTGGCACACCTAAGTTTGCTTAGTTGCATACTAGGCAAACACCGAAATTAAAGGTTATTTCGGACTTGGTCAAAAATGCTCGGGTAATGTGCGAATTGCCTAGTCAATCGTAGGTGTGCCGGCGTAACGGAGATTGCCGGAAACATATCCAGTTTTCAATCTTTTCTGAACAGTAGACAATTTTTGAAAAGATTGTGGCTACTCGCTTACGAACATATTTGGATAATATCAATATTTTACCTCAAAAACAATTAGAGGTCAGGTCGGGTTTTAGTTGTACCGGCGTTATTGGATGTTGTGGATGACATAATTTCTGCGCGTGATGATCTCCACAACTTTCGATACACTCCATCATGATACCCTGCTTGCTTTATTGCACCATGTCGGGTTCTCTGATAGCGCTGATGATTTTTTCAGATCTTATGTCACGTAGTCTTCAGATTTTGTCCGTTATTAACCAGAGGTCGGTGTTGTGTCCGATCCTGTTTTTGATATACACATCTCAACTGTGTAATACGCTCCAGCACTCTATAGTTTCCACATAAATTCTATTAATGCTGCTCAAGAACGAATAAATTCTGATCTAGTGCACTTACCAGTAAAGCCAACAAACTAAATTTACAAATTAATCAAAAAAATCTGTTGCTGTGCTATTTGCGAATGATAGGATATTTGAATCAATCAGAGATAATTGAAATATCGTCATTGACGGCAATAAAGTTGGACATTCTTAAAAATGTACGTAATCTGTAAGTTCCACCCTTAGGTTACTGTATGGCAATAGAAACCTATTTAACACTTAACTTAAAATACAACTTTGTGATACCGTTGTGTTGTCACTTTTTTAATTTTGGCGATGTGCTTTATCACCTCTGTCTAAATAGTGTGGATACGTGCAGAATACGGTCTTGGAGGTCGAACTAGGGTGTCTCATACTTTACAGTGGACTGGCTGGCTAAATATGCCCCAAAGATGTATTCTGCACACTGTATGTATGTTTCGTCGCATTATTTTATACAAATATCCTCTCTATTTGTACCACAAAATTCGGTTTCGAACGGATGTCCATAATATAAACATTAGGCATCGCCATTGCCTCAAAATACCGCGCCACAAAACTCAATTTTTTAAACGGTCATTTTCCTATGGCATTCCTAACATATATAATAAATACATATTTTCTCTTCATGTATTCATATTATATATTTTCCTTTTTATTTTTCTCGTTTTGAGGGGCGATGAAAAACAATAGTATCTACATTACATGGCTACATATTGACTCGTCTCTTTTTCGCAATCCTAAGCATTAATGATTGTTTTTGCATTATTATTATTATTTTATTTATATAATTCTGTATTGTTTGTAGGATTGTCAATAAATAATTATAATTAAACATTTAAATTTAAAAACAATTAAAAATTATAATTAAATTAAATTTACCATTTGTTTAATTCAATTTTAACGTGTTAACTTGTTATTTCGTCTTAAACTTAAAAGAATTTTATTTGAATAATTACATTTATGAACTTAATACTTTGCGATATGACCTTTTCGTGAATTCTTGTAAAATTAGTCTCTGAGGATGACCATGGGCCGAAACTAGTAAGACTTAATTATTAATAAAACCAGTTTCAAAAGTATAATACTGAGAAAATTAAATTTAATCACCTTTTCACAAATTGTCAATAAAGATTTATTATTATAATAGATGTACTTACACCCAGCATGACGATTCTCTGCTAGTCTCTGCAAAGATGCAGAGATATGTTCTTTCCACGTTAATTAAAAATGTAAATAAATAGATTAGAAACGATTTTTTTCTTTACCACGTCTTTTCTATACATGTAGGTCTGTAGACTCCAACAAGTCTTTCAATTAACTTTAAATACTTTCTTGCATCTACCTACAATGGTTTGAAACTCCGCTAAATACAATCAGTTTTACCATTCAATTGATGATGGCGACATTACACAACATTACAAAACGATTTGAAATGATATGATTAACGAGTTGATGAATTAACATAACAATAAATAAACTATTTATTCATTATCTGAAGATTTTTTGTAACTTAAAAATAACTAATATTTTTGAAACAAAACAATTTTTTTTTAATTTAAAAATTAAAAAATATTGATTCTATTTTTGATAAAAAACTATAGATTACATTTAAACATATTATTTAAAAAAACATACCTAACGATTTTTTTACAATACTTTAAATTAAACGATACAAAGAGCATCTTTTTTTATTATAGTAATTATTATCAATAAAATCCCTAAAAATACACTTATCTGATAATTTGATAATACACAAAAGCTGACGGTTACTGATATTGAAAATTCAGGAGTAGTAAAGTTTATTGACACGTGTAACATTGAGTGGTGCAACATCGAAAAAGGTCTTGGAAAAGTCTGCATTAGAAATGGCTATTCGACCGCTTTCCAAAGAATTGCAAGCGAAAGCAATCGCTGAATTAAATGAAGATCCTAAAAGGATTCAAGACGATATTAACATAATTAAAGAATGGCTTAAGCAACAAAGGCATCTTAATCCAATAATGGGTGAGTTTATTTATTGTAACAATTAAAAGAACACGAAATAAATTCTTTTATAACATTTATTTCTAGATGATCAATTTATTTTAACTTTCTTAAGAGGATGTAAATTTAGTTTAGAAAAAACTAAAAATAAATTTGAAAACCTTTACACGATGAGGACTTTAATCCCGGAATTTTTTGACAATAGGGATCCTTTCTTACCTGAACTTCAAGCACTTCTAAAATTGGGGTAGGAACTTTTTAATTACACATTCTTATTTAATTGCTATCATTATTTTTATAGAGTTATTCTTCCGTTAAAACCAGCTGGTCCAGATAGTCCCAGATATCTTTTATTCAGATTTTTTGTGGCAGACCCGGCTGTTCATAAAATGAAAAATTTATTCAAATTGAATATGATGATTGCTGACACTTTGTTGCACGAAGATGATCAAATAACTGTTGGTGGAATGGTTGGATTTCAAGATGCTAGCGGTATAACTATGTCTTTTTTGACACATATGGATTTGACAATCATGAAGAAAGCAATGATGTTCTTTGAAGGAGCCTTTCCTCAACGTCCAAAAGTTATGCACGTTTTCAATCCACCTTCAGTTTTCGACACTATGTATAATATGATGAAACCTTTTATGAAGGACAAAATGCAAAGAAGGGTAATCTTTAATCATTTTAATTTTCGAATTTTGTTACAAAATTTAATTCTTGAATACAGATGCTGATGCATAGAACATCCAATCTTGAAGAAATGTATAATCATGTTCCAAAATCAATTCTTCCAACTGAATATGGTGGTGATGCTGGTCCAATACAAAATTTAATTGGTAAAATTACTTTTTTATGTAATTTCATTAAGGTTAACATTTATTTTGATTTATAGATGAGTGGAAAACTAAAATTGAGAGTAGAGCTGCGTGGTTTAAAGATGATGAGAAATACAGATCGGATGAATCGAAACGAGTTGGAAAACCAAAAACCGAGTCTGATCTTTTTGGTATTGAAGGATCGTTTAGAAAATTAAACGTCGATTAAAAAATAATTAGATAAATAATATATAATGCTCTTGGACATCTTTTATGATTTTTTTTCATATGCTTTTGTAATAATGGTTTTTCTTATATTGTAGATGTAGATATAAATGGTCCCAATAAAAATCGCTATTTCATCAGAGACTTAACCTTGATTACAATTTTAAGCCAAATTGATACAAACTTTATCATTACGTATCTTTATCAGATAAAAAAGTATAAATCATCATTAAACTTGAAGAGGGTATTCTTCCTAGATGTTTAGTTTTGTTATCAATTGAGAAACAAAAATGTCTGTGCGACCTTTGAATCCTAAATTAAAGGTGAAGCTGTAGCAGATATACAAGCTTGTTGATAAGCAATTTTTGTTTGAAAACAATTGAGAACAATTCTTAAAAATTTTTTGAAGAGACCCCTTTTCACTGGAACTGTAATACCTTGTAAAATTAGAGTAAAATTTTTTATTACGCATATAAGAGTTCAGAAATAAATCAACTCGGTATGTTGATTCATTTCTGAACATATTTCAACACATATTTTTAGCATATCAGCTTTGTTTCAATTACTAATTGTAATATAGAAAAATCAATGTACATTTTTATGTGGTTTTTTTGACACATATTATGACTCAAATATCTTAAATTTACCGTACAAGGTATTGAAACAAATAACAATTTTTATGAAGAATTTACAAATAAAAAGCCATACGATCTTCTCAATATCTTCATTGGAACAATAGCAACGAAAACCGGAAAAATCCAAGTCTTACACAAAAGCTTGAATCCTATTAATAATTAATAATGAAACAAAAAGCGTCTACTTCGCTTACTTTCACAGCATGGCAACGTATGGCATATCTATCTGGGGGGGGGGTCAAATGATATGTAAGACATATTTAAAATGCAAAAGAAAGTGATACGGATCTTGTCTGTGCTTGACTATATTGGAAGCTGCCGAACATTTTTTAAAACCTTAAAAATACTAACTATCCCAAGTTATTTCATACTTACCTGCCTGGTAAGAGTATCTTATAGAGTATTATAGAGTATCTTTCATTCAATTGGGAGTTTGAATATTGGATACTCCTTCTACTGACGACAACATGATGTTAATTGATAATGAAAAAATTATATGTGCGTCACCAACATTAGCTTCATTACTATTAGAAGAAAATGAGGTATGTTTTCACTAAGTTTTCGCTCGCAGATCACCTACAAATGGCTCTAAACTCCGTCGTGCCTCGTCCTCCAATTCCAATCAGTAAGAGAGTAACTATAAAGTAGATAACATAATAATTCTATCCATTGGAACCCCGCATAACACTTTCACTAACAAAGGAAGTTACATGTTAACCCTCGTAACATCGCTGGGGTTGATCTACGACGAATGACAAAAACACTTAATTAATATATGTATTTGAATGCACTACAAGTATATTTTTTAACACCATCAAAATCGATAGGGCGGTTTTTAAATAAACCCGAAAAAATAAGGGTAGTTCGCCCCTTTCACCCTGTAGTGTATGTATGATACATTAAATGAAAATTATTAAAAAGGAATATCAGTTTCAATTTACCAAACTTTGATAGCACTTTTCGTTTTCGAAATATACCTATGTGAAAATGTACCTTTCCCCAAACTTTCAACATCTAAAACTTAACTGAGGGGCACAGTAACACAGTTGTGTTACTTCCCTTGTAAGTGGATAGATTGGATGGAAGAATCTTCACATGAACCATATCACATACGTTTCGACCAGACCCTTGACCATTAAGAAAGACCGGAACAAATAATAATCGGAAGGAGAATATGCTTTTGGCAAGTTACCACCTTTTTATTGATCAATTCTGGCTTCAGCAGCCGTAGGAGAAATGGACGCGGAAAAAGCATTGGTGAAACAATCCATTAAGACTGCTAATTATGGCCCGTTCTTTTGGGTCGATCATAGCCTTGAATATACTCTTCACTACAGTATAACTTACACAACTTCCGAGGTTGATGCAATCTATACTTACTATCCTAAAGCATAAACACCATGGATTACTGTAATTTTCTTAGCCGGGGAAGCCAAGATAATTATTTATCCAGTTTTATAGTAACACAAACAAATATGTAGTGATGAAGAATAGTAAACAACTTTCTTCAATAACACCTCCACGAAACGGTCTGCTTATATATCCAAAGAGTTGGAAAATCGTGCAGCAAGAAGAAAAGAATAATACAATGTTGAATGAAAATATAACTCTTAGCTGTAGTGAACGAAAAGTATTAAAAAAAAAAATAAAAGCAGTAAATACAACGAATAAACTTGGTGACTTTTTATACCGAAATTTTACCACCCTACATTTAGAAAGGAGCTAATCAAGGGTAAATTAAGGATTAATAAGATATATAATGATATGATATTAGTGGGAACGAAAATGGGAGTTAAGGTAAAAGAACTGAACGGAAAGATATAAAAATAGAAATAATTCACTGCTTAAAAAAAGGAGATTAAATGTAAATGAGATATACCTAAAATAAACGAAATTCCAGCTACATTATATAAAAAAAGATTTCACCAAAAAGAGTAAATATCTGGTTGGTGGATTGTGCGGATTATGATCCAACGGTGCCGCTAATATCCAAAACGTCTAGCAAGAAATCCAATATTCTTATTATTTGTGGCAGTCATGGTAGGGATTTCTCATCGTCGTGGACAATCGGGCATAGGGCCTGAATATTCTATTTTATCATATCGCGGATGCGGATAAACTTACGCCGACTTTCAATTTTCCGGATTATTTAGTAGTTTTTTTACGGTTCAAATGATGTCTTGTGTAGTAACCCGGTGGATTTCGGAATGTTTAGGATTATCCATTCCTTTGCTTGCAACAACATGCCTTCAGGGAATTAATCCTATATCTACCGGTTTACTTGAGGCAAAATGAACCGATGGTATCTCTACCTACTTTATCTGTATGTATGTAGTTTCACGTGGGCGCGAATTTCTTCACAATACTTAGGCCCCAATGGGCCCTTTGTAAATCCCCACAATTAACAATTCATTCAAGGGACAGAAAACCAGCTCAATGTTTTAATGATCCTTATACCCGAAATTTGGGGCCAAGGTACGTCAAAAGTGCTTAAATACTCGAGGTTGGGACAGTCACAAACAATATGAGTCTCGTCTTACATTTCATACCCTCTACAGAGGGATGTATTCGCTAGCTTCATGTAGAACATGTGCTTACGTAACCTGCAGTGTCCGGTCAGGAAGTGGGTGAGGAGCGTCAAGTCACTTTTAGATTTCCTTAGGAACTGAGTAGATCTCTTCCGGTCAGGGTAGAGCAGAGTGTTCTTTGCAAAGGCACCTACTGCTGTCTCATTCTATCTATCGGAAAAAGCTTCATTAGTGGTACAAACGCTTAATTCCCTTAATTCCTATATGTCCTTTTCGTCACTTTATCGTGACCTTGTTATATACGTTTGCGTCCTCAAGTGATTGCCGACAGGACTTCACTAACGATGATGTAGTTCGATGCCTACCAACCGCCAGCATAGCCTGTCTGCTGTCAGTGTAGATTACAACGTTTCTGCCGACTTTTCTGAAGTCGATGATCACATTGGCTGTCATGTTTATAGCAGTTATTTCGGCTTGAGGAATCGTGCAGTGCGACACTCGCGAAATTGAAAGGTGCTGCCGTTTTGCCCGAGCTTAGGTTGCTCTGGGGTATCATTTCAATGCCAAAGTGTGGCTTGCTTAAGACAGTAGGTATGATATAGTCTGCGTTGATAGTAGGTTGTTTATGAACAGCCTCCAGAGCTCGCTACGGACTATTCCCATTTTTACAACCAGCGTGTTGTCCACTGATCGCAATCGAAGCAACGCCATCACGGTCACCTCCCTGATAAAAATGTCTCGGGGCAGCACGTTCAGCATAGTCTCCATTGCGATCGTAGGTGTCGATTTCATGGTCCCCGTAATTAACAGGCGGCTAGTCGTTTCAATTGATGCAGCAATTTAGCCCTATATGCATGTTTTAGTGCTGAGCACCAAACTATGGCTCCATAATCTGCCATCGGTCTTATCGCATAGGTGTAGATCCACATTGTAACCCTCGGAGTTAATCCCCAAATATTCCCTCTCAGTCTTTAAAAGAAATGATGAGAGACTAATGGGTCGAACCTACTTCATCTATTGGGTTTCCCAATGAATCATTTGTGTTATTATTTATATTACCGGTGGGATTGCAGCGTAGTCGGAAGAAACAGATGAGAGTCTGCATCTTTGATGTTGATTTTAGTTTCGTGGCAAATAACGCATGGGCACGCATCAGTTATTCACGTGAATGTTCAATCTATTTTTAGCAAATTTAAATAAACTTCTCGCTTGCGCTCTGAATTTGGCTGAATATACAGTATCATCTCGTTGGTCTAAAGTACACATTAGAGATGGTGTCTGAGATGGAGTTCGAGACTTGCTGTGTTATTTTAAATTATAAACAATTAAAGATCGTGCGGTCAGATTGTTTTTGACCTTAGTAGGGCGTTTGATTCCCTCAAAACATCTTTGTGCAATAAGTTACACTGCATGAGTATAATAGGTTAAGGCCCACTTTTACCACCTCTTGATAAATTTATTCGATAGATAATTACCATGGTTACAGCGGTTTTAAGCGCTCTCATTGGTTAAGAGCGCCAATTTATCTATCGGTTAAATTTACCAAGAGGTGGTAAAAGTGGGCCTAAATCCTAAATTGGATTTTTTTTTTGTTTTAACGAGTCGCTCCCTCAGAGTGGTGTGATCAAACGGTTGTTCGGATAAGTCTTTCATCGACGTGAGGTTCCATAGGGTTCCATTTTGGGGCTGTTGCTGTTTATTTTTTATTAATGACTTGCCCAATTTTCATGAAAATTCAAAGATTGTTGTTCAATTCAAGGATTATGATAAATGTTGATAAAACGGTTTGTATCAATTTTTATAAGCGTTAAACATTTCCAGAAGAATTTGAATTGGCGTAACACACTTTCTTCCTTGGTGTGGTATTAGATTGGAGGCTATCATTTGAAAGTTACATAGAAGCGGTGTGCAAGAAAATGAACTCAGCTTATTATACCATATGGAAACTAAGAAAAAGTTAGATGTAAATTTTTTGCTAAACATGTATTACGCTCTGTGCTACTTTCTTTGATTCATGTACTGATGCTAATAAGAGACTAATGTAACTCCTATAAGTTTCTGTCTTGAGGCTGATATTGTATATTTCTTTTTATTGGGAATTGGTGGGAATTGATTGTTGGGAAGCAGATGTTGAGAGTTATGCTAAATGATCAAAAAAAGAAAATGGAAATGGAATACCGATGAGGCATTTATAATCAGCTTGATTTAATTATTTTAAATAAATTTAATTAGTCTTACTTGTTTTTGAAATAAAATTGATACAAACTTATCAGTACATTTTTTTTTATCAAATAATACAAGTATCGAATTTATCAGTGCTTTAGAAGGTGTCATTCATTTCAGAATAGACTTACATAACAAAATGTCCGTTCGACCTCTTTGTCCAGAACTTCAAGCTAAAGCTATCGCTGAGCTTAACGAGGACCCAAAGCGAATCGATGATGATATTCAAGCTCTTCAAGATTGGTTGGAAAAACAACGACACTTAACACCAAGAATGGGTAATTAACTAAATATTTTGAGGTGAAACCATTAAACCAGAAATTTCCAGATAAACAATTTTTATTGACATTTCTTCGCGGTTGTAAATTCAGCTTGGAAAAGGCTAAAAGAAAATTAGAAAATTTATACACCATGAGAACGATGCTTCGCGAATTTTTTGATCATAGAGATCCTTTCGCACCAGAAATACAAGCAATTTTAAAAGCGGGGTAATTTGTGAAACAAGTTATTTTAATTATTTTATTGATTTTTTTTAGACTTTTTCTTCCATTTGTTAAAACTGAAGGACCCGATTCTCCTCGAGTTTGTCTTATGAGACAAGGAGATCCAGCTATTTATAAAATGAAAGATGTTTTCAAAGTTAACATAATGATATCTGATATTTTAATGAATGAAGACGATCAAATATTAATTGGTGGTATGGTTGCTTTACAAGACATGGAGGGCTCAGGAAAATTTGGAATGTCTCATATAGATTTCCCTCTTATGAAAAAAGCAATGACATTTTTTGATGGCGCTTATCCCCAAAGGCCGAAAGTTATGCATTTTATCAACATCCCATCGATTTTCGATACCATTTATAATATGGTGAAACCCTTTTTCAAAGAAAAAATGATAAAAAGAGTACTATTTTTAATTATTTCACTTTTTTTTAAATTTTAATGATAATCTTTTTCAGTTCGTCTTTCATAAAACAACTAAAATGGATGAAATTTACAAACAAATTCCAAAATCAATTTTACCAACTGAATATGGGGGCGATGCAGGTCCTATTCAAGATTTAATCGATCATTGGAAAGCAAAAGTGGAAAGTTATGCCGAATGGTTCAAAGAAGACGAAAAGTACAAATCTGATGAATCGAAGAGAATTGGAAGACCAAAAACTGAAAGTGACTTATTTGGAATTGAAGGCTCCTTTAGAAAATTAAACGTTGATTAACTTTTTATTAACTTAATAAATCAAATTCTTGAAATAAAAAAGATGTTTTTTTGTAACTCATCGATAACAATTGGAAATATTCCGAATTACGAACAAACGTGCACAGATAAAGCAACCTCGCACAATAAAACCAGATAAAAGATAAGCAAAATTGTTTAGCGATTACCACAAACCGTTCGGTTAAAGCCGTTATAAACGGCAAAAAGTACCTAAGGATGGAGAAAGAAGTTACTACAATATTTACTTTGCAAAGGTATTTAGAGAATAATTTTGAATTGTATAAACCAGAGGAATACAAGTAAGTAAATTAATTTATTACTTTTTTTAATAGATAAATTAAATATTTAGAATCTTCTAGCATTATAAAAGCGTTTTATGAAGAAGAACAAGATTATGTAGATCATTTAGAAACTTTGGAGAGTCAAAAATTTGAATTAGCTTACATAAATGTACCTTATTATGATTTGGAGAATTTGTTTGGTTGTATCACTGAAATAAAAAATTTTCATCGATTTGAATTACCTGAATATGCTATTAAATGTTACACCATCGAAGATATTTTTAATTATTTTTTAAATAATGTAAGAAAATATTTTTTAATTAATTAATGTTTTTTATAAGATTATTTTCTATTATATTTTTAGAAAAAGAAATTACGTTATTACATTTTAGATCAATTCACAAAGTTTCAAGTCAAATTTTATGGGAAAAAAGCTCTTTACAAGGTAATAACTTTAATAACTTTAAGTTGTTGTTTTGAATTATAAACTTCTTTGCACTGATTTAGAGATTCTATCAAAATAACATCGATTACAGTTTAACTCTCCCTGAAAGAAAAATTATTTCTATGATAAAATATCACTCATATTTAAAAACTTTTGATCATCTAAAAGATTCTATTATTTTATACAACACATTGAATTATTTTCAAGATATTTATAAACAGATGCAATATGTTAAACAACTTGCTGCTATTCAAAACATTTCTAAATATGTAAGTTAATTCAGCTAAATTAAAATTTCCCAACTAAAAATATTTTCTTTTGCAGATTTGTTTTTATTACGACACATTATGTATCGATAATTTTAATATTTCAATCGATGGAGCGCCACAAACAAACTATAGGGTTTATTTTTTGGATGAATTAATTTTGTTAACAACTTTAGTTCAAGAATCAAAACTACACATGGTAACAAAAATTAATTTACATTTCAATCGTAAAAGATAATATTTTTAGCATAAAATCGAATATAACATTCGAAACAATAAAATACAATTCTCCGGGGGAACTCCAGAAGATATGAATTTTGAAATCGTCGAATACTTGGAAAATAATAAAAAGAGAACTTATATTTTTACAGCAGACAATGCATCAATTAAATCAAAATGGGTGGACGTTATCCAAAATGTTTTATACAAACAATTTATTGAACAAAAGCAGAAAGCAAAAACTCCTTAACTATATTCCGTTTTTGATACTCTTTGTTATATAGAGCACCCTGAGTGTATAGACAACTGTATTGTTGGCGAATTTGTTGATCGATCTGCGTTGTGATGAAATTTCTTTTCTATGTCTGTAAAGTTGTTACTATGTTAATTTATTGTCTATTTTTAATAAATTTAACTTTTTAATTTAACTATTTAATAATAGCATTTGACTTTGTAACATATTCAATTGAAATTGTAATATAACACGCTGTAGTTGTTCCGATTTAACGATTTGTGTAAAAAAACATTGCACAGATATTTTATGACTTGTGGACCTTAAACTGACACGCTTAAAGTGACTCCGTCTAATATATAATAAAAATACCTAGAACATCGTTGCACAGTTGATCTTACAATTAGTCGCTGGTGATATTGTATATCTAATCACGTCTTCAATAGAAAAAGTCGTTGGAGGAACAGTCGTAAGTAATGAATACCTTAGCTATTGCAGTAATAAATCTGTAAGAATTTACTTCCCTTACTAATACTACAATCATGTGTCACTTTCTTCGCAAAGTTTTGTATAAAATACTCGTCACATCAATTGTCACCCTTATATCATTCACTAATTTGATCTACTTATACTCACAAAACAAGTTTTATACTGGCTTCTGTTCTTTTCAGCATTTTTCGGCATTTTCAGAACTGCTTTAATGGTTCCAATGTGTTTCCATTAAGAAATCATCAAGACTATTTATACTAACACTTTAAAGAGGATTGACAACAGGCTCTATTTTCAAACTGTATTTTGCATTTATGACCTTGAAAAAATTTACATTTTCTCAATACTTGAAGATCAATTTTGAATTTTCCACATTCAGTGGCTGCGCAAGCGCGGGCATTTAGCAAAAATTTAAGAATTACGGCTCGACCCGAACCACCCACACATATTTTTGACTTCGCCTTTGTAACGCGACTTTTTAAAATTATTTTTATAAGTTACGCATTATTATAATATATTGTAATGTTTTTCCAAATGGACCGCAAATAGTCCCTCTTCTTTTGAAAACAATTATTTTAATGAAAACAACATTACTAAATTTTATAATAATTTGTTTTTTTATTAAATTGAAAAAAATTTAAATATTTAAACAGAATTGTCGAATAATCTCAGGGTTAAAGGCAGGTTCTGGTAATACTGTCAAGACAAACATGTGCACAACTTAAGGTGCAATCAAATTGAGATGTTGTCGACAAAATTAACAAAATTTACTGATTATAAAAACAAATATTCTAAATTAGTTGATTCGAAGTAATATTTATCAACTCGGATATGTTATGGTCTTAAACAACTCGTCAAATATTAAATTAAATAGGAAATTGTAATCGTAATCTCAAAATTTATATTGAATTTATCAAGAACTTCTCGTATTGAAGGTAAGAAGAGTCTTTTTCTTTAAAAAATGTATCAACAAAAACAATAAATTATAAAAAAAAATAACTTAGCCAATTTGTTTCTATGGGAACCTTGGAGGTCAAACTCAGAATAATATTTTCTTCGTGACAGGAACAGTTGGATTCAGGATTGAGAACCAATTTTTCTCTTCACTAGTGATGATGGTTTCTACTAGAAACGGAACCAATTGCTTTACTTGATCAGGAGCGAATTTAATCGTTTCTTCGAAATTATTGAACAGGAACGGATATTTATCTTTAATGTAATGAATTGTTGATGAATTGTTTTTTCAGAGTTGAACAGGAACGGATATATTTTTTTAAACTCGTTAACACGTTGATTCAATTAATTTTCAGCAGACCAAAAAAAATGTGTGTGTTTCTTTAGACAACAGGAAGCACACTCTTTTTGTTGATAAATTCCGTTTTTCGGATGTTAAATTTCCAAATAACCTCTCCTGATTGGTTAAATTTATGGATTTGGAATTTGTGTCTTAGTTTTTTCAATGTAGCCAACTTTGACATTTGAAATGTCTCTAATTCAATTTGTCAAATTATTATTTAAATTTTTAAAATGATTTATAATTATGCGTGATATTTCGTAATTTTGATGCTCTTTTAAATCAATTTTCAAATATCCATTCATTTTCTTCTGATCTCAACGATAAATTTTCCAATATGTTCAAATTAATTTTGTAAATTTTCATCCAAATTTCATTATTCCATACAAATATTAATTATTTTCTTTGTTAACCAAGTTAAGTTTATCGTTCTAAATAGGTTTGATCCGGGAGATAAAGATTTAAATAAATAATTTTGAAAAATTTAAATTGAGGTTATCTGGTATCGAATCTTTAAAATTACTTCGCATCGACTTTACAAGTGATAGTTTAGGATTAGAACATTAAAGAACAATAAAATGTACCGAAATTCACTAGCTTATAGTATCTAACATTATTTTATAATTGTTCAAAAAAAGCTCTTCTACGATCAATACGATAATTAAACAAGACCGTTGACTGAGAAATTTAACTACTGGTAAACGGTTATTATTACAATATATAAAAACTGTGATATAGTGTCGAAATCGCGATAGGGAACAGCGATAGGGACAATAAAGTAAGAAATTAATAATAATAATTATTCATGGTCTTTTCCTTTTAATATCTTCCTTTTTTTCTTTGAATCAGTACCTTTTATTTTGTTTCCGAACCGTTTTCGAGCAAACATTCAGTATAAGTCATTTATAACTATATTCAGTCTATATAATGTACAATGAAAGATATTGTTCTTGGGGAGCTATATTTTATACCGCTGTTGCACACATGATTCTTTTTAAACCATTATTGCACATCCAACAAACTCAAGATCTACGAGTCTGTCCGTGATTAATACAGCTATATTAGGAAAAGATTGGATTACTATTATAGAATAAGTGATACAATAGGGTGGAATGGGACTAAGAATTCGGTTTATTGGAGACGTTGTAGTTAAAAGGTTAACAATTCTGGACTGATGATATCTTTCACCGTCTGGAAATTTGCAATCGCAGCTTTATTAGCAAAATTATGGTTCCAATTCAGTGAATTTCTCAAAAAAAAAGTTTTGTTGTGTCTGACAATGAGAGAAAATATTGATTCTAACAAATTATAAATTAAAAAGAAACAGAAATAAGCCATGCCGGGAGAAGGGGGTCTCGTCCAATCGAAAAAGATAGTGCGTTCCAAGTCGAATACGTCGCGCCTTTATTTTATCTACATAAAGAAATAAAGTCGCGACGTCCTGTCTGGAATACACACCAGCACCATCATTTTCGATTGGATGGAACCCTCCTCTCCCCGCATACCTATCTATATTGCTGTTTCTTTTTAATTTATAATTCGCATTATTCGCTCTAAAAAAAATAGAGAAACATAACATTGAAAAATTGTTAACGGGATTCGGCAAATGCAATTATTCGAGATATTTTAGGATATTTTAAAACAACATTATTCTCTATCAGTCAAATAAGACACAATTAGACATTTTGCTGTGCCCCTTTGTTTCACTGGTTGATAGTTCCAGATACAATTGAGCTACACGCTTACCTTCTTCGTTTAATTCTTTTCTTATCCCTGCTATCATTTAATGGATTCCACCCTTAGATTTCTTCCCTTCAAATAAGCGTTTTGAGATTTCGAGAGTATATTATTTGATTCCAGAAAATTGACAATTCTCGTGGATATAATATAACCTTCTCAAATACGTAGGAGATATTTGATATTAATGTCATAGGTCTATAGTTGTCAAATAGCTTGTTACTTCACTTCTTATGGATCGTAATGACTATGACTTTCTTCTGTTGTTTGGGAAACTTGCCAAGTTCCATGCTAATATTACATATCTGCATCAAGGGTTTACTTAATAAGATAGGCTACAACTTTTAATAACATTACCAGTATATCATCATATGGCTGAAGTTAGATTCATATTCGAATCTGTAACAGATTCAGATTCATAAAGTTACAGTTGACCAGACAATTATAAAACATATCAATTGAAAAATCGTTTTCTGCAACTACAGAAGTTGTAGCAATTTGCGACTACACTGGATAATTCGAATAGACCCTCTAATATGTTCCCTGTCTACTCCCACCCCAGATTTACGTAGAGGCAGAGTGATGAATATTTGAATACTCATCGACTTTAATAGCAAAGTTAAACATTATTTTCTCAACAACTAAGGACGCAGCACCCTGGGTCTAGTCTTGATTATTGCATTAGGTTCTCTGGTATCCTTCTAGCCCACCAGCACCCCCAGATTTGCCATAGGGGCCGAAGGGTGAATTTTTTAATATTCCTCGTTTTCAATATCAAATTTAAACATTATTTTCTCAACAACTAGAGACTGCAACACCCTGGGACTAGTATAGATTATTGCATTAGGTCCTCTGGTATCCTTCTAACCCACCAGCATCCCCAGATTTGCCGTAGGGTGAATTTTTTAATATTCCTCGTTTTCAATATCAAATTTAAACATTATTTTCTCAATAACTAGAGACTGCAGCACCTTGGGACTAGTATTATATTTAAAATTTATTCAATATTTAGTTTGATATTATATTTACATGGCTTTTACTTCTCTTTTTAATGAAACTTGAACGATTTGGATTCAGGGGACCAGCCAAAGATATTAAACATCTTATAACACCTTATTTAAATAATAGGTCACACTTTACTAAAGTTAATTCGAAAACATTAGCAGATAAGTGGTTATCCAACTGCATCGACGTATTTACGTTTTCATATTGAAAAAACATGACTCATTATATTTATTACATAGATACTGTTTCAGTGCAATTTATGTTTTTCGGAAACGATTGCTTAAATTTAAAAGTATTTGTAGAGAATTTAAATAATTATAAGTATATATTTATTTCATATAACGTAAACTGTAGTCACTGGATATTAATAGTCCTAGGTATGACAGAAAAATTAATTTATTTACTTGATCCCGGTCAAACAAATATGGACAATAACATATTTAAGAAAATTAAAAAGTTTTTCCAAAGGTGTAATAAAACAAAAAGTCGTAATGAACGAATGAAAGGTTGAAAAATGGCTAAAGACCACAAATATCCTAAACAACCGGATAGCATAAATTGTGGACTATTTGTTATACATTTTATGAACGTTATAGGAGAACGAGGCATTATTAATGATACCGGTTTAGGCTACAAACGTACTTGTTGGAAAATTAAGAAAATATTAAAAAGTAGGTACTGCCCTAGGTGTGGTCTCTATAACGAATCGCAATACATTTATTGCAATCAATGTCAACATGTTATTTTAAAAATTTTTCCAATATTCCACCAAACATGTCTTTTGAACAAGCGTCCCACATTACCTTCATATTTATCTGCAATCTTTGTTCAATTAAAATGCTTTAATGTATCCCAAAATAATGTTTAAATTAGCCATTGAAAATGAGGAATCTTCAAAAATTGACCCCTCGGCCCCTATGGCAAATCTGGGGGTGCGGGTGGGCTAGAAGAATACCAGAGGACCTAATGCACTAATCTAGACTAGTCCCAGGGTGCTGCAGTCTCTAGGTATTGAGAAAATAATGTTTAAATTTGATATTGAAAACGAGGAATATTAAAAATTCACCCTACGGCAAATCTGGGAGTGCTGGTGGGCTAGAAGGATACCAGAGAACCTAATGCAATAATCTAGACTAGTCTCAGGCTGCTCCAGTCCTTAGTTGATGAGAAAATAATGTTTAACTTTGCTATTAAAATCGATGAGTATTCAAATATTCACCACTCTGCCTCTACGTAAATATGGATTTGAGGGTAGGTAGGGAACATACTGTAGACAGGGAATAGACAGGGTCTATTCGAATTATCCAGGGTGGTCGCAGATTGCTACTTCTGTAGTTTCAGAAAACGATTTTTCAATTGATATGTTCAATACTTGTCTGGTCAATTGTAATTTTATGAATCTGAATCTGGTACAGATTCGAATATGAATCTAACTTCAGCCACATTATATCTTCTGTTCTTACCGCCTGCGTGTTTTTCAAAGCAATTATTATTTTGAAAATTTTAGTCTGTCTTGGGATGCAAATAAAATATATAGTCTTTGAACATATATTTGTTTTGAGTTGTTTATTTTGCGTAAGCTACTACCTATTTTTTGTTAATATTTACAACAATATTAATAAAAAATTCAGAGAACTGACTATCAGTTCCACGACCCGGACCGGCCCCTTTCTGTCTACTATTCTATAATGAGTAATTGTTTATAATAATATCTAAAATAATGTATGTAGATAAGCAACCAAAATAATCGAGAATGTTGAAAAAGCAAGATAGTAAGCTAATTGAGTCATAACATTCATGTTTTAACTTACTTGCGTTATAAAAAATTATTCATTCATTATCAATAGTTTCATCCATTTATATTCTTAAAAATTTATAGTGCAAGAATTTTCATTAATTGATGATTTTTAAGAAGTTGGAGAATGATTACCCTATGAGCGTAATCCGTACTAGTCTTTTTTAATTTTCGCGCTGCCGCGTTTCTTGTTGCGAACTCCTCGGCTTTTACTTCTGCGGTGAAGGGGGAGCGAAATTAACCAATTCTGTACATTGTGGACACCACAAAGTACCTAGAACGTGTTGTGACTATTCAATATTTAGCCATATCTGATTGTAGACATTTTCAGCCAAGGGACGTCGAACATCTTCTTATAATATCTATAGGTATAGTGTAGACATATAAATTGTTTTTTTTTTTAACTTATTATTGTTTATATTTGTTTTTTAACATGTTTATTTATTTATACATGGTTTACTGTTGTAGCATTTAGACTTAAACTTAAGCAATTTTTTTAAACACGAACACGATTTATTTCCGCAAGCATTCAATCAATCACATTTTACAAAGTCTTACTTTAATCCCGATGAAATCATTGCTTTTTGTCGAAGTGTCACTTTCTTATTGGGGACATCAGTTACATTTATAAACTTATTAGGTGCTAGTTGAAATGCATTTCTTGAATATAACTTATCTATCCAGCGTACCGTTATTAGTTGCAACAGAAAATATATTTGGATAAACTTCTTCTTCCGTTATAACAGCTAATATATTTCGAGGACCTAGTCGTCCACGATCCAGATCTGGAATGTCTATCAAAATATTGTTTCCGATAGAGACTGGTGGAAATTTCGCACTCAAAGCAAGATGTTTTTCCTTATTGTAAACAAACTCTGCGATGTTCTTCCATTACCAAAATCGCTGATAAATTTTCATTGGTGTCTTCGTCTGCTACATTCTCTATGTTTGATTCGACATTTTAGTTAATTTTACGTAAACGCACTTCAAGTTCTTCGGTCGTTAAATTTTGAACTGTATCACTTGGTAAGCATGAATTCACGAATCCATTTTTATGTGCAATTCCAAACAAAGCTTTCTACAGGCTTCTTTTTATTCCACTATGATAACTCGAATTTTTCGTACTTTCAACAAATCGAAGACCAGTTCACTTCGTCGAATTATTATCTCTCATCTAAGTTACCAAACTATCACGGTCATCTTGATCTTGACATTGTTTGGGAATATCGTGGTTTTTCGTGTATCTTTATCAGGTTGCGTCTGCATGTTGATGAGATCTACCTGTGAATAATTTATTATACCAACGTTTTATTCAAACCATTTTCGTTATAGGAATTTTTTTTGCTAGATTTTTTACCAAATGAATTTAAAAATTACATGGGTAGTTAGGTTAATTGAGTTAAAAAGTAAAATATCATTACAAATATATTTACTTACTTGACATCGTGAATTTAATTCAGACATCACCTCTGTCTTCACGACAGTTCATTTTTCCTTTTGCTTTTGCTTTAATGTTGCAAAATCTTCTATTTACTTCTGCTTCCATCGCTTTTTCCTTTTTATGACCTAATTTTTTATGCCTAGAGTCTAAAATGTTTAATTCGTTTTAGGCAAGAATTTAATTGGAGAATCTATAAAAACAATTGAATTGTAAATTGATAGAAAAATGAAAATTACTCCCGTAAACACCCCACAATCCCAAGATCTTGTGAAGGAGTATATTGTAAGTAAATTCAATAATAAATACATAATAAATCAATACTTTTTTTACAAGAATAAAAAAAACTTTAAGAAAATAATAATCAAACGTATGAATCCAAAAACGATAAATAAATAATAATAGCTAGGTTTGATTCTAAATTATTTTTAACTAACAATAAATCTTTGTTTCGCTTGTTTCGACTTCAATTGGTCTCTTCAGCTAAGAAGGTTCGTCAGGAAGGCAACACAGCCTCTGACAACCTTAGGACAAACATGTTGATTAAAAGATGAAAGCTTATTTTGAGTAAAATTTGTAACTCCACAAAACTCTGATCTCATTTGACGTTAAATTTAATTTTTTGTCTTTTGAGAAAATTTTGAGAAATGCTTTGAGCAACATCGCTCTGCAAAAACCTTCGTTCCACGACTTCTTCGTCGTGCTGATGAGAATCAGATAGTTCGAAAACTGCAAGCAAACTGGGAACACTACACCCTGTGTAGAACTACACATTCACAGAACTACTTTGAATGAATTCCATTTTGTTTTCGACGCAAACTGCTTCGCATTCGTCAAACTGTTTCACTTCGTCAAAAGCAAAGCCTTTTCCAGATTTGGCAGACAAAAGACTGGTATTTCAGAAAGCATCGTTCAACCTATATACAGACTATATATTTTTTTGTTTCGACTTCGATTGGTCTCTTCAGCTAAGCAAGTTCGTCAGGAAGGCAACACAGCCTCTGACAACCTTAGGACAAACGTGGTGATTGAAAGATGAAAACTTACTTTGAGCAATAAATCTAGGTTTCAAAATAAATTGCAATCAAATTTAACCCTTTAACTACGCGTTATTTTATACGTATACGTACATTACACGTCTATTGATGTGACCCGTCGTTAAAGGGTTAAAGGTTTGACCTTACCAGTTCTTGATCCTTCTTTTATCTTCTTTTAAACAGGTTCCTGATAACAGATGGTGAAACGTCGAGATGTATGGTGAGGTACAGGAAAGTTCATTTGTGTACTTATTTGATGTGTTTAGGTTTCCAGAAAAATAATTTGTTTCCCAAAAAAATACCGTGCTTTAAGACCTAAGGAATGGAAGGTAGACTGTGTTTGGTTAATTTTATTAATAAAAAACGCTCACCTCAGTTCATCGATGTTTATGGCCCAAAATAATGTTTAACAATTTAATCCGTAGTCGTAACTTAAAATATTAATATACGATCTCTACCCATGTGAGATGGATGATGAAATGGACCCAAAACTTTTCAAAATGTCGAAATTTGCCAAAATATGCTCACGACGTGTTTCCACTAGGACAACTTATTAAAAGAGACCGTTTCAAAACTCGTTTCCCCAAATATACTCCAGGAAAATCAAAAACGAAATAAACGATCCGCGATCCCACGTAAGAATAGGAAAAATAAAGGAGAATTTCGTAAAAAAATATAATATATAATCAAATAATCCCGAACTAAAACATTTAAATAATTTAAATTGGTTAAAAAACACGTGTTATAAAATCGGGCGTGCCGGCTCAACGGTTAATTCTTCTAGAGAATACCTACTTTGCACTTTGTGATCTATTCGTTACATAGATCGGCAGACCGATCATATCCTCCTGAAAGTATATAATTCTAATTGCAGCGGCATAAGTCTTCATTATTATAAGAGAGTTTTTGGGGAGATGATCCAGATCTAACGGAGATCGCGAGCAAATCAAAAAAGTGAGTTACATTATTTTCTATAATATTAATTATTTCTTTAATTTGAATCCAAAAACGAATTTACAATTTGATTCGTAGAAATCTCCTAAGTATATCTTATCTCATGAGATAAGTTTTTATCAAAAATGTTTGTTATTACTATCCATCTACGTATCATGGCTTTCCCAATGTAAAATAATGTTTTAGAGTCCAAAAAATGGATTTACTTACCTCAATTTTCGAAGATAAACCGAAAAAAAATCGATCTTCAGGTAAGAGTAGAGATAAAGGTGGAACGGAAGTCGTTAAAAAGAAAAAAACGGTCAAATCGAATGCGTCAGATAAGAAGCCGAAACCAATTCTTAAAAATAATACGGTTATTAATGGTGATAAAGACAATGGTGCTAAAAATGTTGTACGACATACGAGTTTTGATAATAGTGTTAAAACAAGAGAGAAAGAAGTTGAAAATGGTTTTAAGCAGAACGATTCAAGAAAACGTTCGGAATCAATCAGAAAGGAAGAAGTTGTGGAAAATGAAATTAAAGCTGAACCTAGTTTGATTACGAATAATGATTCTCCGGGTGATAGTTATATTAATTTTGTTGAAGATTCCTTTGAAAATTCATTTGAAACTTGTTTGGAAGTATACAATGACTGCATTTTTGATGAAAAAGATGCCGCATTTGGACGGGAATCTTTCACGAGTTTAGACCAGGATTTTTTCGTGGAAGCCTATAATAAAGAAGGTTCAGAACTAGTTGAAACTTGGATACAATTATCGTTTAATGAACAAGAATCTGATGAATCTTTCCCACAAACGTTTGAGGAAATCATTTTTGTATCAGATGACGAACGCGATGATTTTTTTGAAGCTTACAATTCGCGGGAGTTTCAGTTACGAAAAGTTAGATCCAGAGATATAGCTAAATATGGACCACAACATCACAAAGAAAACAAATTAGAACCTGAAAAAGTTATCAAGCGAGAATTAAAAAATCAAAATAGTATGGAAGCGGAAAATATCGAGGAAAAATCTATACTAGGATTAATTAACACACCAGGTGGTTCGCATATCAGCGATAGAAGTAGTGTTCAAAGATCTACTTCAGGGGTTTCTTCCAGAAGTAGCTTCATGTTTAACTCTGTAAGCCGAAATAATAGTACCAGCAGTAGAGGATCGTATTCTTGTAGTATTACAAATGATTTTATTGAAGAAGATGAGAAAGATTTTCCTAAATTAAAAATACCTTTTAAAATTCATTCAAAGTAATTCTAAAGTTAACCTCGTTTTATATTATTATAACACTAGAATAATATAATCCGAGTTGTCCTTATTATTTTTAATATTACAATTTAATTTTTAGGGCTGATATGATTATTCAAGAATTTTTAGAGACTGAGTACACTTACATTGAAAATTTAACAATAATAAAGAACGTAAGTTATTTAATAAGTATTTTAACAATTTATTAAGTACTATTTTTAGGATTACATCAAATATTTTAAAAAAATTAATTTAGACGCAAGTCGAATGTTTGGAAATATTGAAGAGATTTTAGAAGAAACTAAAAATTTCTACTGTTCTTTACATCTATGTGCAAATGATTGCGAATACATTGCAAAAACTATTGAAGATTACGTAAGTAACATTAAATCAACACAAACAAATCTTTTATATATTATTTTAGCGCTATTTATTTGAATTGTACCCAATATATTCTTTAAATAAACTTAAAGCAGATAATCTCGTTCAAAAAAGATTCAAGCCAATCCTACAAGAACGTCAAAAAATTCTTGGGCACAAATTAGATTTAGCGAGTTACCTCCTAAATCCCGTACAAAGATTGGGTCGTTATATTTTATTGTTACAAAATTTACAAAAAAGTATTCGAAAACCTGAATGTTTGGATAATGCGATAAAATTACTTGAGAAAGCGATGAAAAGAGGTAACGATTATGTTGCGATTGCTTCAATTTCCCAGTGTACAATCGATTTGTATAAGAAAGGCACTTACATTGATCGAGAAAAATTTACTCTTTTAAAACCAAAAAGAGAAGAAATTGTTGTGTTTCTATTCGAAAATACCATTGTTCTGACATTGCCACAACAAAACACTGAGAATTTCGTTTATAAAAGCAGTATTGATTTGGATGATTTACAAATTATTCATAGTGAAGGTGATAAGCAAGTTTTTCAGCTGAAAAATTATACTAAATCTAAGAAAGGTAATCAAGAATTGAGTTATACTTTGGAAGGTAGAAGTGATAAATTAACGGAAACTTGGGTTCAGCTGATTCAAAGTAAACTTTGGGAACAATTACAACAAGTTAAAGGTAATGAGATTTTGTGGGAATTAGTTAAGAGTTGTAGAATTTTTATTTTATTTTTTAGCTTCAAGTAAAACTTATAAATTGCCAGAATGTAATGGAAATAAAAAGATTTTTAGTTCAAATTCGGTTAAAAATGATAGTGGAAGTGGAAGTCATTCAAAAATGGGACGAGCAAGTAGTGGTTAATATCAACGATTTTATTTTATTATTAAAATTAATCGTAAATTTTAAAAATGCTTTTTTTTAGATCGGAATAAATCTAAAGCAAAAACTAAATTTTATGTAGAAGAAACTATAAATGGTTATGAAACGTTGTAATTAATTTAAAAAGTCACAAAAAAAGGAAGTAATTTAAACATACATTATTTATTCAAATTTTATTTCATAAAATTTATGAAATTACAAAAAAATATCTTTTCCCATTTTTTTAGTATCCTTAATTGGAAAAATTCAGATCACAGCAACTTAATTTAAGGTTAATAACATTAAGTACTATAAATTAATAAATTATTTTTATATATTACTCTTTTCTCATTTCTTTTACCGGTCTTCGTCTGTTACATAAAATATACTTTTTCTTATCGGATTTCGAACAAATTCAGCGCTCAGTTTTTTGGAGTCTTGTCTCGGCAGCGTGTGTACAAAACCTAAAATAAAAAAAAAACAATGTAATTTTGTACAAGTAGTGAGTCTTTCTCTTTTATTTTTATTTTCGTAAATTAATTTAATAAATGTTTAGTTTATATTAAATATATGTAAAGAAAATGTATTCTCTATAACTAAAAGATATTTCATAATTCAGTTTCGTTCAATGGTAAGCTTATTATTTGTATAATAGATGTTAATTTCATAATGATTTATTAAAAATCCATCATTTTTTTAAAAATGAGTGAAAGCTGTTTAACAGCTTAACTTGAAAATTGAGAAATGTCTTATAATGTTTAAAAATTAATATCTCAAAAACTTTTAAAAAAGGCACAAAACCAGATGTATTTTAAACATGATCTATTAGTTCGTGTAGCACAAGCAATAAATATTGCAAAGGCGATAGTTTCAATAAAACCAATGTAGATAATTTTTATAACAATTTAACCACAGAAACTGGTCTACAATTCAGAAACCCAACAAAGTTGTAGCAAAACGTAGGAATCGACTGGTTGAAGCAATCATTTCAGCAAGAAATGTACGTTAGGGTTCATAGTTTTTGCAGTAAACACTAAAGCAGATACCGTTCCTCCAGCAATGCGGTATTACAACAATTTTATATAAGATGGACTAGCCCTAGGCGAAACATTCCTATTTCCCAACAAAATATTGTTAAGCGAGGCAGCAAAGAAAACGCACCCGAAAGAAAACCAATAAGACATATATGAATATATGAAATGATGATAAATTGAAAAGCTCTAAAGCCAAAGCAGTAAAGGAATATAAGTAAAAGAAATATATTTTTGTCTTATTTGCGTCTCACCACAAATGTAAATTGTAAAAGAGAAACCACTTAGAACATACAACCAACTTCAAAAATTGTATCAATCAACAAGTCTTGAAGCAACGAAGTAAGTGATATTTAATGCAATGTAAAAAAAATGAAAAGCAGCATCAGCAGACTAAAATACTGCAAAAAGCTTTCCAGGTAAATTAGCAAAAGTCCAAAGATCGAGATACGTTCTTGTTTTGCAGTAATGCATCTGGATAAAATGTTAATACTTTTGTTAATCAACAAATCTCTCACGAACTTTAAGAGGTAAAAACATTAACATATTCCAATTCATCTGGAGATGACGGATGATCTATTTACAAATTGGTCCAACAACTACTTTGTTCTTGAAGGCCAGAAATATACCAGGTGTTTGCACGACACTATTTCAGGGATGTATTCTTCAGCACAAAATAAAAAAAAAGTTCAGATAAACATATATCCCCTATAAATTTATTACCGAGATATTTAAAGTTGAAGTAAAATATCTAAAAGTATTGCGTTCATTAAGTAGCCATGCACAACAATCGCATATTGTTTGTTTGCTTGACAGATATTAAATATCTACTATTAAATGTGTTAATTAGTGCTTAGCACTGTTGGTGTAATGGTTTTTTTAGTGCTGCATCAAGAATTTAATTTTTTATTATATATCATGGGAGACACCACCAATTTGTTCAGAACAAACAGACATGTTGTTAATTTATGGCGAGGTATGTACATAAAAATGAAGCTACTACTGTTCCATGGTATCGTGAAAAATTTTCCGCTAGAAGGATATCAAATCGTAAAACGTTTACAGCCATTGAAAGACGTCTTAGGCAAACTGGCACGCTAAAACCTACACGAATAAACGCTGGTCGACAAAGATTTCGACGAACTGCTAACGTTGAAGAATTGATACCCGATGCTGTTCAGTTATCTCCTAGTACTAGCACCAGAAGATTGTCACTTCGTTTCGATGTTTCGAGTAAAAGCGTATGGCGTGTATCCACATCACGTTACTGATGTGCAATATTTATTACCAGAAGACTATAACAAGCGCAGAAATTTCTGCCAGTGGTTAATTCGACAATGTACACGAAACCCTAGATTATTAATTTTCGAAACACCCATACTTGGCGCGAAGAAAACCCTCATACGACTGCTTCTACTCATTACCAACATACTTTTTCCTTAAATGTCTGGTGTAAGCTCCTAGAAGACGATTGCCGATAGGCAGGGAATATGATTTATGCATTGGTGCCCCTTCTCACTTTTCTTATCTTGCCACTAATTATTTAAACAGAGCATATGGTAACCGATGGTCGATTGGCCACTACTATGATCTAATACCGTTGGATTATTTTGTGTGGGGCTGGATGAAATCTATGGTTTACTCTACGTCTATCGGCACCCAAGAAGAGCTCAGAAATCGGATCATGGAAGCCGCAGTAGTTATCAATGGCTGTCCTAATGCTATAATGTTGCATTCAACAAAACGGGAACCATTTTAAACATTTACTGTGACCACTTCATTAACAAATTAAAATTTTTCATTTTCAATATCTCGGTAGTAAATTAATTTGAGACATATGTTTATATGAACTTTTTTGTTTATTTTGTGCTGAAGAATACATCCCTAAAATAGTGCCGTGCAATTCTGAGACACTCTGTATATACAAAATACATTTATGTATTGTTGTGGTCGTTCCAAGATATCATTCGTTCTTCCTGTTGGTTACCTTTGGAAAGGAAACTTTACTTCTCCATCCGTGAAGCGCTACGCATTACCATAAATACATTTAGTAAATATATAGTAAATACATACAACATTTCAAATTCTACGGTTTTCTTATAGCCGAAATAAAGAATAAAATGTAAATTTGGCTCAACTTTGAGCGCTCATAGCTTGAAAACTAAAGAGTTGCGACCCTATGATGATATAAAAACCTTGTGTTATTTTGGGAAGTACTACGTCATAGTAAAATTTCCCGATTAAAAGCTGAACCACCTTATATAAAATCTAGACTCCCTTCTACCATAGATGTAGGGATTTACACCTTTCTGGGAAATTGTCCCCACTCTTTTTGATTTCGGTCTTCTTCGTTGCTTCATTCCAAGTTTTTTCTTCTTCCTGTGGAAACACAGCAACCACCACAATCCAGCTTCTCGGTCTCATTTTAGTATTCCTAACCTTTACCTGTCGATCTGAAGGCATTATTTCAATTTATTTTAACACTGGCACAACATTTAACTTTCGCCTGATCTCACTGTTCTTTATTTCATCCACTCTTTCGATTTTTGAATATTTAATTTAATTTCATATTTCATTAAGTAGTGTATTATTCCATACTGTGAGGTTGTATTGTAGATTTTGCCATTACCACTACATCATCCGCATTTGCACATTGTCCCAGATACACTTTGTCACTTTTTGTAGGTTTTGGTGTCCTATTAGTATTGTTCTGTTGTTTTTGTCACATTCCTGTATAATGTCTTTCATAAGTACCGTGAACAATACTAGGCTCAGTGTTCCTCTCTAGCGTAAACCTTTATGAGTAGTAAATTCATCCCATTTTCTGTTATTACTTATTCTGTAGTTCGTGCTGTTCTTATACACACTTTAAATCACTATCACTAAATTGTCTTCGTAATCTTTTTGTAGATATGATGGATAGATATTTTTTTCCATTTTACATTCTTGATCTCTTATACTATGCCATATCTACTTAAAAATGATATATTATTATGACGTGCTCAGAAACCAGAAGTCTAGAGGGGGATATACCCAGCAATAGAAAGGATATTCTATGGGTGATATTGATTTGATGAATGAACTGTAATGACACCACTCTCTCACTATCTAGAATTTGTGATGGTGTAAGATATGATACTGTTATGTGTAAAAAATAACTAAACTAAAAACTAGCTAACATTTTTACTTTGTCTCGTTTAATAAAAACTAAATTAAAATGTGTTTCACTTGTGTATTTTAATTCCTTGTGTATACAAGGTATTAATACATTTAATGTTTTATAAATGTAATATTTTATAAACATATTTTTATATAAAAAATTTATGAAAATATTTCTAGAAATTATATGTAAAAAACTTCGCCCTCTATGGATTAAATGGGATGGGTGTGCAAACCTTCCAGTAGCGTGAAAACGCAGCTACTTCTCCCTAAAACAGTTGTTTTAATTTTTAATCAAATATATAATTCTATTTCACCGATATTAATCCATTCATTTGAAATATTCATAATTTATCGCAGATTAATATACACATAATAATTATTATTATGTATATATGTATATATTGACATGTATACTTTATTGTAAATATATACACTTTATATACCTAACCAAATAATGGAAAGTAAACATACCAAATCCCATTGATTGTGAGAACAGTATACATACAATATCGTCGATGTCGTCATGTTTAAATATAACATGAGTAATTTACACTTTCAGTATAGTAAGATAAAATCTAAAAATAAAGATGACAAAGCAAAGCTAGATGTATGTCTTGAAACTATTATTCTGTATATGATTATGCGTTCAACAAAGTAGAAATTAATTTTCTGCCAAACACCATGACTTTATATAGAGGGATGTTATTCACAGAAGGAACCATCGATTAAGCTGGCGGAGGAAACTCTGAGTTCAAAGCGTACGTCGATGTTAACAGACAATTTCATTGCTGGTAAACATTTTTAGTGAATTAGTTGTAAATTTAAATTTCTCGCAAAATTTTTCATCTTTAATTATAATGTTAATTTCAATAACGATCTCAAAATGATCTTAGTTCAATTCGATAGTAATTCAGATAAGTATCCACGTACCACTTTGAAATGATAATATTTAAATGAAAACAAACAGTCAATATTGTTGACAGGCAATAATAACAATTCTAATAAATATTAATATTTGTGAAATGTTATGTATGCAAAACAGGTAACTAAAATCCTGCGTAGACCAAAACTTTCTAGGTCTATTTCTGTTATATATTTCTATTGTACTAATACTAGAACTAACACCAGACCTAGAACTAAAAAGTTTCGAGTTTAGCAGTGCGTCTTCAGACTACTAGAGTACTTTGAATCAAATTCTTTATGTATAGTTGTTATCTAGCTAGCTTCTGGCTGGTGCCATCATCAGAGACAATTGTGAAGTTATTGTAAATGACACCTTCAGTTATTATTTATTAAATACATTAAGATGTATATCGTAATACAAAGTAAATAAATACATACGGATATGTCTTAGGGTGTGTCCACACATTGCGCGGCATTCGAGCGTGGCTGCATCAGCGACGTAAAGCGAAGCATGTGGAGGACGTCAACCGAAAGTTTACAATTTCCCACATATTACATAAGAAACCAACTAACCTCCCTCTCAACATATGTTCCAACGTCTCCCAATGTTCGCTCTCTTCTTATTGCCGTAACGGAATCTGGACTCCAACCTGTTGTCTTCCGTGCTCCCCTCCTTCACCAAGTATTTTAGGAGACCTTCCTCATTGTACCTTCCCTCCCTTATCTGCATCCTTCTCTCCTGACTCTGGATGTCCCTATCCCTGCCGCTTAACTGCCTCTACATCTCCACCGCCTCCCTTCTTCTGTTGTTTACCTCTGCTTCCAAATAAGCTGTCCTTTTGTAATATTCCTTCCTCTCTACTTTACCATATCTAATCTTCCCCTCCCTAACTTCCTTCGAGCACGCCCCCAAGATCCTGCAGTATGGTCTTGTGTCTATCATTTTTTCATATTTTACTACTGTTCTGGCCGCCTCCACCCTAACTGCATCCACCTTCACCTCCCCCCTCCCAATGCACCCCGGTGTCTCCCTCGCCAGACCCAGAACCCACCTCCAGTACCGATTCTGTACATCGTCCAGAATATCCTGCCTCTTCCATCCCCAAACCTCCTCATCAAACATAATCGTCCTCTTTCTGATATCCCTTTCAAACACTTTTTCACCCCATCCCCAAACCTGCCCCATCACCTTACTCGCCGTTTCCGCCATCTCCCTCACATGCGCTACCTCCTTGCTATCCACCCCGAATCTGTACCCCAGATATGTGAATTTTCTCACCTCCTCAATCTTGGTCCCCTCCCATCTCCGTTCCTCCCTCCTTCTTCTCCTTTCTTTGCAGAACTTCATCATCTTCGTATTTGCTACATTCACCCCCAACCCCTTCCCCCTGAAATACCTCTCCAAGTGCCCCACCATCGCTCTCATCTCCGCCGTTTCCTTCGCCCCAACCACCATGTCGTCCGTGTATGGTAGCACGTGTACCTTTTTCCTCCCTACCACCACTCTTCCCATTTGCTCCTTCTCCAGTCTGCTTTCCAAATCCACCGTATACAAGGCAAAAAGGCTGAGGCTCAGTGGACACCCCTTTCTCAGACGTTGTCCAAAACGCTCCTATAGCGGACATCTGGACGACGAGATCAATCCGTGGAAAGCCAGGAATGGTTGTAAACCTTACAAGAAGACTTTCTCGGGTTGTTGAAGAACAAAGAACAGAGCCATAAAAACGACGGCCCTTCGTGTTTCAACAGAAACTTCGTTTTCTTATCAACAATAGGAGTAAAGTTTTATAACTTTACATTAAACAAAAAACAGCTCTCTCTGACCATCTGGCCAGCGAATGGGTCACACAAATTATTCCCAGAAAACCTTCGCCGAGAAGTTCCGGGACTCAACATCGCAAACAACACGTTCGCATGTTCCACCGGGGACAAAAGAACCAGGATCGGCTTGGAGAAGTCAGTTAGAGTCAATAGTTAGCAGTTGGTCTTTGACACTGCGACGAGCAGTTCATTCCTAAGCCGCGTCACGAAGAGAGCTCCAGAACAACCGTTCTTCGAAGCGCGTTGATTTTTAATTGTTAATTTTTTGTGGTTTTAAATAAAATAAATTACGTTGTTGAAAAAAAATTGGTTTTCCATAGTATTAGCCCCGCAGCTTCGCTTATCGTTTTCGTTATCTAATTCTAGCCGTCGATTCCTTGTACATCCCTTTCACCCTCTTCCTCAGCTGCTCCGTGACACCCCTCCTCTCCATCTCTTCCACAACTTCTCTCTATCCACCCTATCAAATGCGGCCTTCAAAGCTATGAATAGGGCATACTTATTCAACTCTCTATCCACCAGATGTTTTAAGATATGCACGTTGTCAATCGCCCCTCTACCCTGCCTAAGACCAGCCTGTCCATCCGGCAACATCCCCCCAATCTCAATTTCCTCCTCCAACCTTTCCAACAATATCGTCGCATAAATCTTGTACGAGGAGTCGCGTAGGCTGCTCCTATAGCTCTCCACTGCTCCCTTACTTCCCTTCTTATACAATGGGCATATTATACCCATCCTGCAACCGTTCGAAAGGGTTGCAACCCTTGCTCTCCACACAATGTTCAACGCCTTTAACTGCTTCCTTCTTACCCCTCCAGTCACCTCTAACCATATCTCGTTCTCTACCCCATCCTCCCATGGTGCCGTTCCCCTCCTCAATCCCATCAACATTGTTCCTAACTCATCCTCCGTAATTTCCTCGCACCCCGCAGCCCTCTCCTCCTTCTCCACCGCCTGCAATTTCATAAAGTGTAGATTTCCCTCTTCCCCTCCATATATTACCTTGTCGTTGGTCTCGTCTTTATTAGGTAAAGTTCTAAATCTTTTAACTAATTAAGTCATGGTCCCAACATGAAATACATACACGAATACTTTTGCGAGGCACTGTATACGATACGCACTCTGCGAAATATAATACAGAAAATAGCTCCTTAAGTTACATACACACCAGCTATCGCGAACAGTTCGCGGTCAGTTGCGACACGCAAATATGCAAATCGCGTATTGCTATACCTAAATTGCATATTGCAATACCAATACTGTGATATTGGTTGCATACTTGCAATGATGACGTCGGGTACGATAATTAATTAACACACTGTATGTTTGTAAAATGTTCACGAAGTCGCGAGCAGTTCGTGCACTCTTTCCGAGAATTTTCCTGTTCGCCTAGAACTCGTGCAAAGTCCCGCCGGTTGTCGGTAACTTCAAAGAATTTTTTCGTCAAACAAGAGTTTGACTTAGTTTGTGTAGACGCCGAATTGTTGCCATTAACACTTTCGATAAGCAATGGACAAATGAACACGTTTCAAGATTAATTGAAAAATATCATGATTTGATTGGCAGAAAACGCTTTTATCGCAATTTCGACGCGAGGGAAACAAGAGCGAAAAAATGAAAAAGTCTGGTAACAGAGGATCTGTATAGAGCCACGTAGTTTACTTTTAAGGCCTTTTCTAATCTGGAAATCGTAAAAGCTAAAAATTTCATGGGGCGGAATTGCATTTCTGTACTTAGTACCTTTTTGAAATGTTGGGTCCGATTAAATTAAGTAAATGTTCAAAATCACTTGTGGACATACGATGAAAGCTTCTAAATCCACATCCATCTTCTATTCTTAAATCTGTCAATAAGTTAGTACTAGTGCTTTGCCTTCTCTTTTGAAAAAGACGTCTTTGCTAGTAGTGACGACGTTATTGCTGTGTAGATCGAGTATTAATAACAATAAAGAAAGCACAGGTAAGAATTTGACTCGTTTCGTTAAAACGTGATATTCTCTCATGAAATACGAAAACATACTGGCACATTTTGACGAACAATACTAAATAAATATTTGGTTTTTATGTAGACGTCAACATCCAATTGTTCGCGATATGTTTTCGAGCTCTGTACGAGCAAATGGTGTAACTGTACCTGTATGTTTTAATATGTTTCTTGGTGGGTACGCACCTTTAGTTACATTATTTGTTACAGTGCATATGACCGTCACCGGCCAAAATAGATTTCTCAACCTGTACTTTCCTAATATTTTTGTTATCTTCATAGATAACAATGCACTTTCTTTTTAAAAGTGATTTTATCAAGCGATTTATTGACGATTACATATTAATAGATTTCGTGATTTTTTGTTATCACTCTTTTCACAAAAATTAACTTAAAAGATAATACAGTAAAACCTCGATATAACGGATTAATACGGGGAAGGGGGTGTTCATTATAGCCGAAAGTCCGTTGTATGAAAAATATTTAATTGTGACTTTATATCTATTTATACCAAGAATCTAAGAGGACTGCTATATTCCGGGAATAAGTGTACAGGTCGAAGACCCATTCGTGACGTCACGCATGGGCAACTACTATTTCACACTTTGAATTAGCAAAGTAAAAATATTGGGGTTTAGCCGTACGACTCATATGATGGCTATACACGAATTTTCTAGTTCTAATGTTACTGTTAGTTGTAGTTTTATTGTTATTCAGCGCTAGATTGTTGTATATTTTTATTGAACTAACAGTAGATCTAGAACTAGAAACATTCGGGTTTATCCGTAACCCGAATATTTCTAGTTCTCGGTCTAGTGTTAGTTCTAGTTTTAATTTAATGAAAAATATACAACAATAGCTGAATTATAACGCTGAATAATAATTAAAACTTGAACTACCGTCCTTGATCTATATATTGTATAGACAATTAGGGGAATAACCCAAGATTATCTATGAACATGGAATAGAGCAACTTAGCGAAATACCCAACTTGGAGTTTATCTATGAGCAAATTAAATAGATAATATTAATAGTATGACTTAAGAATATTTTGTCCGTTATATCCGAAATCCATTGTGATGAGGTCCGTTACATTCAGGTTTTACTGTATTAATGAATATTTCAAAAGTATTTACCTTTATTTTCATTTGTAGGACTTGGAGTTAAATTTGTCATAGTTTTCCGGTTTTCTAAAAAAAAAAAAACGTTAATAATATAATAATTTAGTTTCCAATTATTCTTACGTTTATAACTATTCAATTGTACCCATAAAATATCTCGAATTTTATTCACCC